CTATAGTTACCTTACTTATAACCCTGCTTACTAAGTCCTATGATCCTCTAAGCAGGGGCCTCAATGATTAGAGCAGCGTTGCGGTGATATTCTCGTGTACTTACAATGGGGAAACCTCGGGAATGCTGTTATCAATGACGATAAAAATGGCTTTCTGATCCTACACCTACCTTGCCCTCCACCCTACATAGGATAGACCAGGGTTTGGGGTTTGGAGCTACCAGGTTAGCATTTCTACATGGGGTCAAGCCTCGCGTCAAACTCATACCCGAAAATAGGGTCGGGTATAGGGGTTTAGGGTTTAGGGTTTAGGGGGTTTGGGGTTTAGGGCTTAGGGTTTAGGGTTTAGGGGTTTAGAGCTTATAACGTTTAGGGGTTTAGGGTTTAGGGGTCGAACGGATCGTTCACGTGCCTTCTGAATCCAACTACGGCGGTTGTTCAATGTCCAGCCGCTGCTTTGAATTTGGACTGCTGTGTTCCCTTACCTCTATGCCGAAGCCCTACGACTCTATCCCCAAACACCCCTACAGCATGGGAGAATATGTAAATGACTTTTAAACAATAAACAATAATAAACCCATATTTGTAGGGTATAACCCTCGTAGTTCCCCCACAAGTACAACTTAGTTCATCGCACAGACGAAAGTACTTCGCCGAGACTACGGCAGCCAATTCCCAAAAAAGTTACTCTATGGTTTAGATTTCCATCAATCCACATGACCCTACCTTGATACGGATTTGGAGTTTTGAAGGGGTGACCTTTGGGTCTTAAACGGTCTATGCCGGGCCTCACAATATCAAGCAGAGATAGTAGGCTCTTAGGACTGCTAGTGATGTAAGTAGCCGTATGTTGGATTCGAGAGGAACCATACCAGAAAGTATTTCGGCTTCCATACTAGGCGGTACCCAAAACCTTCCGTCAGAATCTCCTAAGCACTTAACCCATAAAGGTCATGAAGCGCTACAGGCCCGGATAACTCAGAAGAAGCCGTGAAAGAACTTAGTATTAATATTAGTATTACTAATAATATTATTAGTATTTATGTTAATATTAATATTAGTATTCATAGTAGTATTAATATTAACTTTCGGGCTGGCTCTAGCCTTGACGGTGCATGCTTTGAACAACTGCGGACGAATCTCGTTGCAGCCTCGCCCGCCTTGCCTGCGCTATGGCAGGTTTCGGCGTGCTGTAACCTACTTGATTGTGGACGCTGAACCCTAAACCCCAACCTCTGAACCCTGAACCCTTTACGTGACGACGCTTCTCTTTCAGCTGCTAGGCCTAAACTCGTGGTTACCTAATTTCCTGTAACCCCCCATATGAGACTCTCTATGCCTGAACCCTCAAGCCCCTGAACCCCGTAATCTATAATTTGTAAACGGTACGGCGTGCGGCAGACTTGACCTTAATGGTGTAAGTTAATAGACCCCTAAAGCCTACATCCCGAACTCTAAGCTTAAACCCCAAACACAAAAACACGCCTTCTGGTGTGGCGGTGGAAGGGACATGCATGCTTAATGCTGAAGAGTTGCTGGAAATGGGATTAGAGTTTAGGGTTTCGCTTGGGATTCAGGACTAACCCTAAACCCTAAACCCTAAACCCTAAACCCCTCAACCCCTAAACCCTAAACCCTAAACCCTTGACGGACAACATGACTAGCTTTTAGGGCGGCCGCCTGCCAAAACAGGCACTTAAGCCCGAAAGCCAGACCCGCTTTAGGCTTCGGTTTATTATAGGGTCCTTAAGGGGGGGTGGTTCAAGGGGGGAGGGTACTAGGGAGCTTTGGGGAACCTTAGGGAAGCTTAGGGAGTATTGGGGAATAATGGGGATTACTAGGTTACCTACCCCCCTTGGACCACCCCCCCTTAAGGACATCCTAAGGCTTAGGGTTTAAACTTAAGGTTTGGAACTTAAGGTTTCGGGTTCAGGGTTTAAACTTAAGGTTTCGGGTTTAATGGTCTGAGGGTCTAGGTCAACGAAATTTTGGGACGGAAAAGCAGCTCGCCTCCCCTACAAGAACGCAAAACCTCAGAAAAAGTTCAATTACCTGTGCCTTGTATACCGAAGCCTTACATCCTAAACACTAAACTTTCATGTAAGGTCAAGCTCTCAACGCCATGACTTACACCCGGAACCCTAAACCTTAAAGTGTAAGCTTGGAGTTTGCTTGTCGAGCATGATGAAGCTGCTGTTTCTGCAGGTCCTGGGGACCCATCCAGCTTGCCTGTACTACTTGAAGGGTCCCTTGAGCCCCAATCATTGGGGTTTACCGTTTAGTTCTGACCTCCATTAAGACATGCACCGTAAAATATAAAAGGCTTGCTAAAATATTATTACGCAAGCACATTGCCTATTCACGAGGTTTTGGGCTAGCTGGGTAGGAGCTCGAAAAGTGGACTTAGATTGGAGGGTTTGGAAATTATATGATGATAAGAGGGGCACCGAAAGAATAGATTTACGAATTTAGGCGACTATGCTACGCAGGAACCCGCTTGGCAAGTTCATACAGATGCTGGGCATGTGGAATTTCGTTACGGTACTCGGCAAGGGGCCCTTCTTTATGCACAGCTGGCAAAAGGGAAATAGCAAGGAAACTCACCCACACGAAGCCACAAAAACATGCTGATGCGAACCGTCAGCTCCTGCGCAGGCTGCAGTTTGCTGGTCTAATGTAGGGGCCTTAATCGTTAGAACAGGGCTTCTACCATAATTCTAATAAGGAACCCCCAAAATAGTATTGGTAATTACTAACTAAGCTCCCTATATTATGGCGATACCCTCCGCTCAAAGCCCTTTAGCCGCCAGCGGCTGCTTTTTCGCTGGTACGGAAACAGCCAGGGCACCGGGATCTCGGTTTGTGGGTTTGGTTGTGGCTGGGGTTTAGGTTTAGGGTCCGGAGGCAAAACTTAGGTGCTGAGTTCATAGGCCCCAAAGATGTGCACACTTTCAGTTTTGTAGTGGGTGATATTGTCCCGAAAGGTGTAAAGTGCATCCACTCAGCTACTAAGATGACGGGCTAGGGCCGGAGGCGAAAGAACAGTCAGAGGGAAATGACGCAATAACATACAGAAATGTTCACAGCCTACATGTAGCTGAATTGTGCAGCCTACTTCCTGGACCCACAGGTTTTGAACCCTAAAGCCCGAAGCGGACCGATACCGACGATACCTGCATCAAACAACCTGAACCTTAAAGCCCTGAACCCCAGACTCCTGGACCTCCCAGAGAGCCCAATACCCCTTAATTAAGGAATGTGGCTTAAATTATATAGGGCTTCATATTATGATTTAAGCCATATTCCTTAATTAAGGGGTATTGGGCTCTCTGGGCTTGAAAGAGTTCAAATCCGAAAGCCAAAACAGCTTGGATCGAAAAAGACCCTGAACCCCAAACCGAAACCTTTCTTTCAGCTGTAAGCTTCTGGACTGAGAAGTACCGAACGAGACTGCGGAACACTGGTGCCTACCGTTGTAGTCAGGTCTTGCGGCACCCACTACTGCTGAACTGCTCCGAAACTTTGGTTTAGGGTGTAGGTTTTAGGGTTTAGGGTTTAGGGTTCAGTTTAGTGTCTGCTTGTCTGCCACTGTGGTAGGCAGACCTTGCCCTCAACAACCAAACTGGCAAGAGGTGGGGGTTTCCGAAAATAGGGGACCTTAATATAGTACCCTAAAAGCCGGCTTAACACTCGAAAAGTTGGAAGCCCTCACCCTGCTCACCACCAGCGTCTTGTTGAGCTCTGATGCTCGCCATCGAGGACCCGCCGGTCATGCTGACTTCACCAGCGAACGGGTTGTGCCCGTCGCGACCGGTACTCGAAGACGAATCCCCAGAGAGCCCAATACCCCTTAATTAAGGAATGTGGCTTAAATTATATAGGGCTTCATATTATGATTTAAGCCATATTCCTTAATTAAGGGGTATTGGGCTCTCTGGGTCCACCTGGCACGGACGCTGGCGGCTAGCGGCGCCGACCTCAGAAAGAACTCCTCCTCTTTACGTCGGAACCATGCTCGACCGTTCCCTAAACCCTAAACCCCAAACCCTGAACCTCAAACCCGAAACCCTAAACCCCAAACCCCAAACCCTAAACCGTCCCAACTCAAAGATCTCAAGGGCGTGGGCATGGAATCTTCGGGTTTAAGGGCTTAGGGCTCCTAGGGTTTAGGTTTAGGGTTTAGGGTTTAGGTTAGGTACTACCCCCATACAGTAAGAGTCTATAATAGGGCTACTACTGAGGTCCTCATATATCTATATTATGAATATTATTCGACTATTGCTGAGTGGGGGCCGTACCCAACTTATAGGCCCCTTGCGAATTTCCGGAGTTCCCAGGAAACAGGAGCGTGATTGCAGCAAGCAAGTAGCCCTAAAACCCAGAAATCTCGCGTCTCACGCCCTAGGCCCGTTGTAACTATGGAATGAACCCTAAAACTGCCATGAAAAAACTCAACGACCCTATCAAAAAAACGAAAACTCGATGCAGACGACCAAAACCAACTCGAAATCTTACAACAATACCACAAACCCTACGCGGTGTTCAATTTTTGTGGAGAAGCTCCCCGCCCACGGCTAGCTGTCATCATCTCAAAAAACACTTTCAGCTCTCAAACCCTGGAACCCTCAACCGCGAAAAAACTTAAGGAACGTTTGCAAACCTGTGCAAGACTCAAAAATTAAGGAACCTTTGCAAAACGAAACCTGTCCCCGAAACCCCCGAGCTCTAAAACTCCAAAGTCGGGTTTAGGACTTAGGGCTTAGGGCCTTTTAGGGTTGAACCCCCGGAGCACAAAACCTTCAGCCCCTGATCTTGCTAGTCCAATAACCCTCGATGGCGGGGTAGCATGAGGGCCTTCATTCATGACCTAGAAAAGGGTTTAGGGGTATATTACGAACGGTTTTGGGTTTGGGGGTTAGGGGTTTAGCACTTAGGGTGCAGGAACTATATGAGCAATTGCTCGGAATCTATCTTTGTTGGAGACTTTGCCCTGCGTCCTCTTAGGCGGCCACGAGCTGTCTGGCTGGCACAGCAGCAGCTGCAGGGCAGGGCGGAGGAGAGCGAGGGGACAGAGATATGATATCCCGAAAACCTTGAACCCTAACCCCCAAAAACCCTAAACCCCCAAAACCCTAGGTCGTAAATCCTAAACCCTGAACCCCTAAACCGTTATAAGTAGATGTAGCTATCAAGTTACCTAAACCCTAGACCCTAAAACTCTACAACCACAAAAACCCGGAACCCAAAAGCCTGGACCCTAAAACCCCGAAAACCCTAAACAGTAAAACCCTCCAAAAACCCTAAAGCCCTAACCCTTACAACCCTATGCTTACTAGGCCCCTAAACCTCAGACCCAGAGCTGTCGCGAAAGGGCTTTCGGGTTGAGGGTTTTGAGGGTTTGAGGGTTGAGTGTTTTGAAGGTTTCAGGGGTTGAGGGGTTGAGGGTTTCGGGGCTTTTAGGGTTTGAGGGCTTTGAGGGTTTCAGGGCTTAGGGTTTAGGGTTTAGGGTGCCTTGATGGGGTTTTGGGCGTTCAGGCTTTCAGGATTCACCGAATCCAGCTGTCCGATGCTCGCTGTATGCCCATCCGTTGGGTGAGGGTTCAGGGTTTAGGGTTCTGGGCTTAAGGTTTAGCTTTAGGGTTTAGGGTTCTGGGCTTAAGGTTTAGCTTTAGGGTTTAGGGTTCTGGGCTTAGGTTTTAGCCCTAAAGCCTAGGGTTTAGGCTTAGGGCTTTGAACTGATGATAGATAAAGAAACACACAAGTTTTCAGATATGGGAGTCTCGGAGAAGATAGTACCAAATTCTGGGAAACAGACAAACCGTGTTTAAGAACGTGAAGCTATAGCACCATTCAGAAAACCGGGTGAACCAAACAGAAAGTTTAGCAACAAACGGGCAATCGCAGACTGCCGGACATGACACCACAGACAGACGCAGAGCACAACAGAGGCAAATAGAGAAGGAGAGATCAGCAGGCGCATCATATGTGTGTGTGTATATATATATACCCACAGCCACAAAATCCTAAATCCAAAAGTCTTATGTACGTATATAAATGCATGCATACATCAACGTGTACATGCACACGTCTACACAGCTGAGCACAAGGGCAGCCTTGCACGGGAGCCCCCGCAGGAAGAGGCCGAGCAACAGCCACGGGCAGCGCGGGAGCCTGGCAAACAAGGACGTCCCAGGTTTTCGGGGTTTAGGGCTCAGGGTTTACAGTAGGAGTTTTGGGCTTAGGGTTTAGGGTTTAGGGCTTAGGGTTTAAGAGTTTAGGGCCTTGGGTTTTGGGGCTTGGGACTTTGGGTTAAGGGCTGGCAAACGAGAAGGTTCCTGCAGGTTTCCTTCACAAAGGTTCTAAAAGGATCCTAGAAAACTCTACAAGCATCCCATATAAGGCTTCCATACGTGTTTGGAGTTTAAGGCTCACGGGCTTGGGGTTTTTCCTGCATGAAGGCTTCTGAAGTTTCGGCGTTTAGGCGGGACAGGAGAAGAGCAGAAAGGAGGCACAGAAAGAGAGAGAGAGAGAGAGAGGTTTTGGGTTTAGGGTTTAGGGTTTGCCGTAGAATGGCGCATAAGCGGAAGTATCTCGCGACAGTGTAATTTCGAGTGCGTCGTCTTCTGACGATTGGCTGTGCGAGCCTGATTGTGGATGGCTCTTTCTTGTAACCCTCCCACCCCACCCCGTCTAAGGCGGCCAAACCACCCAAACCTATGCGGAAGAGGCAGGCAGGGCAGGGCAGCAGGGCAGCAGGGCAGGGCAGGGCCCAAGGGGCAGGGGGGTCAGGGGGGGCCAGGGGCGGCCAGGGAAGGGTGAATGCAGTTTTGTGCAAGTCCCTCCCAAGGACCGGGGTGCTGGAACTCTGAGGTTTGGTGACCTTTATTAGGGACCTACTGGTTCCGAGGAGAACCTGCTCCGTTACCGGGCTAAACGTGGGTGCTACTGTCCCCATGGCTGTGGAAAGGCGGGCAAGCGTATTGGGACGCTCTGCGCCATCGAGGTCGAGGGGCTCAAGCGCCGCCCACCCACGGAGGTGGGCGGCCTAGGCCTTGAGTTTAGGGATTAGGGTTTTGGGTTGGTGCATGGAGCCAGCCAGTATGACCTTCATAATTAGAATAGGAATCGCAGGGCTGTCTTCTTCTGTAATGGAAAACCGCAAAACTAAGAACGTAGGGCAAGTAGGGTGGTAGCATGCAGTCAGCACTAATCATCCTCAACGCATGTTCCAACTTTCTACACTTCACTGTGAATCTGACCTCTAACCCCTAAAAACCAACACCCTACCTGTAGCCCTAAACCCTGCAGAGTAGTAGGTAAATATGAACAACCCTATAACATGCTGTAGAAACCACCATAAGCGAACAAACACAAAAAAATACGTGAAGACAACTCATGTCGTTGACAAAGCCATAAAAGCCCGTTACAAAAACGTCGCTTTTTATTGAACAGCTATGAACCGACAAAGACTAGGTTCCACCGGGTGCCCTTGAGAATTAGAGACCCTTCCTCCTGGTATTCGGGTTTAGTAAAGGGCCAATAAGCCCGTAAACCCTGAACCCTAAATCCTTAAACCCTTAAACCCAAAACCCTGAACCTTAAACCCCTAAACTCCCTAAACCCCTAAGCCCTAAACCTCTTTTTATCAGTATACACTTAAACCCGATTGGATTTTAGCAAGGGGCCCATACACCGACAAATATGGGAGTTTCCGGAAATTAGGGGTACCTTCCTAAATAATATGAACCCTACTATTCAGGGTCCCCTATTCTCGGAAACTCCCATGTGGCCTTGGGAGGTTCCTCTGAGATCAGGCCGGCGGCCGTCTTTACGGCCTTGGCGGCCTGTCAGCTCGTCCCTACTTGAAGTTGAAACCCTAAACCCTAAACCCTAAACCCCTAAACCCCTGAACCCCTAAACCCTAAACCCTACACCCCTAAACCCCTAAACCCTAAACCCCTAACCCCTAAACCCTAAACCCCTAAACCCTGAACCGGGCTCAAGGGATTGCGGCTGAGAGCCTGGAGGTTGAGGGGTTTAGAAGTTTAGTTCTCTACTTGGGGGGTCGGGGGACTTAGCAAAGGGGATTCTAAGGGTTCCTTAAAAGGGCTCTATAAGGGTAGTATAGGGTTTAGAGTTCAGGGACTTAGTAAGTAGTTAGTAAGTAGACTTATAAGTACCCTAAAAGGGGCCCTAATTGGGGTTATAGTACTTATAAGTCCCTGGCAGGGAGCCCGCAAAAGACCTTAAAGGTAACTCCAGAAAGTTGGAATATGGTTTCAGGGTAGGATACCCTATAATTTACCATTAAGGGTTTAGGATAATCATATTCCAACTTTCTGGCTTTTACTTTAGGACTCTCGGTGTTCAGGGCTTCAGGAGTTTAGAGCTAATGGGTTTAGGTGTAGGATTCACTGTGTAGGGGCTGAAGATTTGTACCAGGGCGGCTTAAAGGGTATCATAGTGCACCAAGGAGTTTTACACAAAGATCGCGAGATTCCTTGAGAAAGATGCTTTGAGGGTGGTTGCTGTCTTAAGGTTCAGAACTCCTTGATAACGATACGTTGAGGATGGCTGCAAGGTGAAATATCGCCGGTTTAGAATTGAGCTATGGTTGCATGTTTAAACTTAGGGTTTGGGGTTTCGGGTTTATAGGGTTTGAGGACTTAGTTTGGAGTAAATGGCTTTATTTGATGTTTCTATGGGTTCAACAGTCAAAGTCAAGAATGCTGCGGGGAGCCTAAACAAATATGCAGAACCCTCAGGAATAACGCGGAAAAGCCCGAGTAAAGATTTTCTTGAGGAAGCCTCGACACTTCACAAGAACATGCAATAAACCCGAAACCCTGAAGAAGCCTTTGCGCCTCAAGAAATTTAGAGAATCCTGACTGCCTCCCAAGAAACCTTGAAGAATCCCAAACCCGGAACCTTAAACCACTTGCGGAGCCGACCTTTTCAACCGTTCTTCCAGTATGTTAGCCCCACAAACAAACAACCCTAAACCGTAACACAACCCTAAACCCTAAAACAACCCTAAAATCCTAAATCCTAAACCTTAAATCCTAAACCCTAAACCCCAAAATCCTACACCCTAAACCCGAAAATCCGAAACCCTACACCCAACAGGTGAACCCGAAAAAGGGCTGAGTCGGATCCACATCGCAACCCAAGCCCTGGAGAGTCCACCAGGACCCTGAAGATGAGGCGCTTGGGGTCTAGGGGTTTTAGGGGTTTAGGATTTATAGGGTTTAGGGTTTAAGGAAGATTAGCCCTTAAGCTCTAAGGACTCATATTCTAAGGCTTTTGGGCCCAAAGACCATACTATATACGGCTTTTGGGCTATTTTGAGCCTTAGGGTAGGGGTTTAGGGTTGTAGGGTTTAGGGTTTAGGATTTAGGGTTTAAGGTTTAGGGATTAGGGATTAGGGGTTTAGGGTTTAGGAATTCGATATTTACCTTTTTTATTTAGGGTTTGTGGTGTTAAGGTTTAGGGTTTTAGGGTTTAGGGTTTTAGGGTTTAGGGTCTAGGCTTTCCAGACCCTGAAGAATCCACCTGGGGGGTCGGAGGCCTTAGTAAGTAGTGCAGCAACCCTTAACCCCAAACCCGAAAACCGTAAAACCCTAAACTCCTAAACCCTAAACCCTGAACTCACAAACCCTAAAACCCTAAACTCCTAAACCCTAAAACCCTAAACTCCTAAACCCGAAAACCATAAACTCCTAAACCCTAAAACCCTGAAACCCTAAACTCCCAAACAATAAACCCAGGGTCTTGAAACGCTCAAAGTTTCCAGTCCCAGGCACCCGGAATCTACCCAAAAGTAAGTACCCAGAGACTCCAATATCCCTTAATTAAGGAATATACCTTAAATTATAGTAGGACCCCTTATATGATTTAAGGAATATTCCTCAATTAACGGATATTGGAGTCTCTTGGGTAAACCCCAAACCTCAAATCCGAAGCCGTAAATTCTAGCCCTCCGTAACTTCCAAGCACCCTACAGCAACTGCATGTCCGCCGCGGATCTCAGAACCTCTTATTTCCCATGTCCGTTGGGTCAGTGCCCGAATGAAAGCCACTTTCACCACTCTGTCTGTGAGATTCATGCCAGCAGCACGAGGTGTGCCACCTCTTCCAAACATGGGAGGAAGGACGCGTGCGGCAGGTCGAAAAGCAGGCTGCGCAGCAGACGGCAGTGGGGGGGGCGAAGAGGGGCCGCCGCACGCGGCTGCCTTTGGAGGGGGCGGCAGCCCACCAACAGCAAGCAACAATGCCCTGACACCTGAAGGTTCCATCCAGAGCGAACATGGCTCAGACATAATAAGGGAAGCACCGACCATGCAGGGGAAGATTGAGGTCATGCCTTTCTGCGTATACGATTGCGCCCCGTATGGATCACACCCCTAAACCCTAAGACCTAAACCCTAAAACCTAAGCCCAAAACTCGAACGCAAAGCCCCAGTCCGACTCCGAACTTTCGAGACTCAGGCGGAGGACTTAGTCCTCTCTTCACGGTTAAGGGCTCAAGATTTAGGATTAGGATTCAGGGCTTCGGTTTCAGGATTCATTGCTTAGGGTTTACCGTAGAGGGGACAAGATTTACAACTACTTTCTACATTCATGCATTATCCTTGGCCTTAGATTTCTTTTCTGGGACATGTAAGGCCCCTATAACACCACAGAAAGCCCAGGGGACCGTACAAAGCCCTACAAAACCCTGATAAAAGAGCATGCAAACCTCAAACCCTAAATCAAAAGCCCTACGTGTACAACCCCAAACACCCTTATGCCCGAACCCTCATAGAACCATCATAGAAGCCTTCTTGGAACTCTTCAAGAACTCTACGCCCAAAAGCCCTAAACCCAAAATCCTACACCCTACATCCTAAACCCTTAGAACCCTAAACCCCTAGGACCCTAAACCCTGAACCCTAAGCCCAGAGCCCTAAAGCCCACAGAGCCCAGGTCTCCTCGGGCCTTCTCCCGCTCCATCTTGCACATGAACTGCCTCCGACCAGCCTCGCGTACCTGGTCGGGGCCCACCGAGAAACTCCAAGATCCCTTAATTAAGGAATATACCTTAAATTAAAATAGGATCCCTTAATTAAGGAATATGCTCTACATTACAGTAGGATCCATTAACCCAGAGACTATCCAATCCAATACAAGGATAGAACGGAGAATACAATAAACTATGAGTTCGAAAGTATCTGACTATCCTGCTCTAACCAAACCTGGTACAATATGATACTCAGAGATCCCAATACACCTTAATTAAGGAATGCACCTTAAATTATGATAGGATCCCTAACATGATTTAATTTAAAGAATATACCTTAAATAATAATAGGATCCCTAATACGATTTAAGGAATATGCGTTACTTAAGGGATAATGGAGTCTCTGGGTGTACCTAGAGGCTCAAGATCCCATATGGGTCCTTTGCTTAGAGGATCAAGGGACCTAGTCAGTAGAGTTTGAGGCAAGGTAACTATAGCTATATCTACTTGCCATCGTTGTAACCCTAATTACAGTGCAGCAGAAGCCAGAATGTTGGAACATTACTCTCCCCACCCTTAAGGTATAGTCTAGGGAATCCTAGCACTAATCATCCCTAATCGATGTTCCAACTTTCTGGGGTTCGCCATAAGGTACCCATAACCGTAGCTGCGAAGTGTCTTGAAGTCAGGGCTCCTGTAAACAGGTTCTAAAACGGTTCTATAAGGGTCCTACAACGGTTCCCCAGAGAGCCCAATACCCCTTAATTAAGGAATATGGACTAAACCATATTAAGAAGCCATATATAGTTTACGCCATATTCCTTAATTAAGGGGTCTTGGGCTCTCTGGGTATTATACGAGCTACCACAAGGGTTTGCTGATGCTCGATTTACCAAGGCCGCTCCCAGCATCGTCAGGCCAAGAGGCCTTGTTAGGGTTTAGGGTTTAGGGGTGCAGGATACCGGAGAATGCCCTGCTGCGTACGTGATGTGAGCGCTGGCACGTCGACCACTTTCGTAGACCTAGACCAATTCGCCTGCCTCGATCACGTCTGGGGACCCAACACAAGGCAGCTAGGATCACCTCAATTTGCGGCAAGGAGCCTCCCTGCCCTGACACATGCTTTCGTGTCAAAGCAAACAGGCCTCGGCCCCACCCGGACGCGGAAATTTCGTAGGCGTACTCTGTCACGAGGACAGTGCCTGCGCCCTGCGTCTGGTTGCTGAGTAATTCCTTGACGTCGATCAAGGCTCCCTTGGGAACGGTTGGGTACGGCCCCATACAGTAACAGTCTATAATAGGGCTACTATTAGGGACCTTATATATCTATATGATGAATATTATCCAACTTTGACTGAGTGGGGGCCGTACCCAAGGGAACGGGAATGTGGAACGATGTTGCACACATTTTCCCTGTGAATGGCCTGGCCGGGCTCAGATGCAAAAGCCTTTTGGTGACGTTTTGCAGCATGAAGCTGGACGTCATGAGACAAGATCGCCCTGGAACATTCTGACGCCTCCAGGGGTAGAATAGGGTTTCGGGGTATAGTATACCATCATGATACAAGGACCATTACATGCTTCCAGAGTCTACCTGTAGAAAAGCTAGATGTTTCGGATTCCTTATCTGCTTCCCTTGAAGGATTCATAGCTACCTGTAGAAAACCTGGACATTGTTGCGGCTCCCTGTCGTGATTTCCCGATATACCCCTAATGGAATAGAACCGTTTTCGAACCTGCAGAGGAACCCTTACTTGCGGGATCTTGGCACTTATAACCAGGGTTTTCAGTATCACCTGAAGTATGTCTACAAGTAGAGCTAACTCTCGCGATCTTAGAAGGTAGGTTTTGGCTGGCTTCAGAAAGGCTCTGGAACTCTGAGCTTTTTGCGACCCCATGCGGGTCTCTGGATTTTAGCGTTTTATCGGTCCGAAACAAAGTATGTGAGCATGGTTCATGACTAAACCCTAAACCCTAAACCCATGAGTAGCAGTTTCGGTGTTATAGTTTGGGCAGGTTTGGGCTGCTCCTGCTGGAAGCTTGTCGTTTTCCACTTCGGACACATGCCGAGTGTGGGCCTCATCAAGTGGAATGCACTCTTTTTTTGAAGCGATTTCCGAACAAGGTCGAATGGCACAGCAGTTCACACGATAGTTCAGCGATCCAGCAGCACCTTCTAACACTAAACCCTAAACCCTAAACCCTAAACCCTACGTAAGATGGCATCCAGGCTCCCCTGACTCAAACCGTAAGATAGGACATGGTGCTGTAGGGTTTACGGTTTAGGGCTTGTGCGTGAAGTCTGAAGCTTCCCCATGACGACTTTACGGCTGTTGGTGACTGAGGGTTTTTGTCAGAATAAGGCGTTTAGTGTAGGAGTTGAGGGGCTTAGAGACTTAGGATTCAGATGGATTGGGGTTTAAGGGTGTAGGATGTGGTGAAACGAGGAACTGTGCTTTCAACAGATAACACCTGGACAGCCAAGGCCTTAGCTAGCACACACTGTCGTCGGTCAACGGAAATGGGTAAGCTGAGACTCCATTCATCTGAACTAAGCGACTATTGTTAAACTTAACTAGCCTGGACCAGCCTAGCCCACATTCTAACAATAGTAACCCTAAACCCTCAACCCCTAAACCCTAAACGGCTACTAAGCAAGCCAAAGCAACAAAAAACTTACCTTTGGTTAGTAGGGAATGAAGGAATGGGTACTATTATACTATATATTACTATCATTCCTTCATTCCCTACTAACCAAAGGTAAGAAAAAGGCGGACTCCCCGCCTCTCTCATGAAATCGTCCACAGAGATCTTGCCTTCGGCGAGGAGCCTCGAGGGCGGAAGGCACGGGGTCCTTTAAGGGTTCAGGGTTTAGGGTTTAGGGTTTAGGGTTCAGGGTTTAGGGTTTAGGGTTTAGGGTTTAGGGTTTAGGGTTTAGGGTTTAGGGTTTAGGGTTTACGGGCTTTAGGGTCTGGGTTGAGGGGGTAGGGTTGAGGGTTGAGGGTTCAGGGGTTTAGGGGTTTTAGGGGTTAGGGGTTAAGGGTCTAGGGCTTAGGGCTAGATCTTTTACGGCTCCCTGAGGATGTTTTTTGCGGCCTTCGGCTTGGAGGGGTTCAATATCGTAATCTCAACACCTGCAGCGTCTTGTGATATGATACAGCCAGTATGGTATAAACGGTTTAGGGACCATAAACGTCTCTCATTCCTGCATCCTACAAACGAACCCTCATAGCCCAGGGTTCAGGGTTCAGGGTGTAGAGTTTGAGCGAAGGTTTTGGATTTAGGATTCAAGGTTGGAAGTTTGCCTCCTTGCACGGGCTCTTCATCTGGATCCCAACGTCTCGGTGTTCTTTTGAGCAAGAGGAGCCCCTAACTAAGTCCTAGACCCCAAAATTTTTAATGCCAAAGCCCTAAACCCTCAATCCTAAACCCTGCATCGGAGACCGTAGACCCTAAACCCTAAACCCTAAACCCTAAATTAATGAAATCTCTAAACCACAAAAACCCAAAACCTGCACTGACAAGGTCGTGTCGGTTTTTTTGCTCTGGATAGGAACCCAGAAGGCCCAAGAGCCCTTAATTGTAGTATCCTTAAGGGAGGGTGGTTCAAGGGGGGAGGGTATAAGGAATCCTTAGGGGACTGTAAGGGAACCTTAGGGAGTACTAGGGAGGAGTGGGGATCACTCAGAAGGCCCAAGAGCCCTTAAGTAGGATACCCAGTAACCTAAGAATAAAAAGGCCTCTCTTTTTGGTATTGGGTAACTTTATAAGGAACCTAGGACTACAAAAAGGGAATAAGGGTACTACTGGACATCCTAGTTAAGTAGTGAATGTGCCTCAAATCATCGTACTGAGCCCCCTATAATCTAAGGTATATATTACTTAATTAAGTAGTAGACCTTAAACCATAATATTAAGTAGTATACCTCAAACCATAATGTTAAGTAGTACACCTTAAACCACAGTATTAAGTAGTATACCTTAAACCATAATGTTAAGTAGTATACCTTAAAACATAAATTATGCACCCTATATAACCTAGACCCAAGAGTAACCCAGGCATAAAAAGGATGCCCTTTTTAGTTTAAAGGGGTTTATAAGGGAACCTGAACCCTAAAAAAGGGAATAAGGGCCTACTCTAGATCCTAGTAACATGGGGAAGTGCCAGGCAACAGCCGGGATGCTTTCAGAGGTCTGGGCCGGGGCCAACCTCACGGGGCCTCGTGTTCTGGAGGACAGAATTTGCTTGTATAGGGTTTAGGATTTAGGATTTACTGTAGGGGTTTAGGGTTTAGGGTTTAGGATTCAGGATTCAGGATTTAGGGTTTAGGGTTTAGGGTTCAGGGTTTAGGATTTAGGGTTTAAGGTTGGGGGTTTAGGGTTTAGGAGGGCAGAATCTCTGCGGAGATTTCAAAGGATCCAGCCTCCATTTTCTGGATTACGGCCTCGTGTGCCCTTCGGTCGGCTTCAGTTTCCCTGGACATGATTGAGGCACACATCCAGACTCTTCCTCAGAGCAGGGATTGCTCAGTCATCCTGCAAGTTTGTGAGTGCCATCCTAGGCTCACCCATCGTCACGCCGAATATCTTCGCCGGTGAGCTTATGAAGGTTTTTGCCCAAGACATGAAGTTCTCTGAGCTCAGATCTGTCCCTGATCCAACCACCTCTAGTACCTGCTTGATCGAGTTCTCGTCTGACTTAGCAGCGAACTTAGAAGAGCTCTTCGGCGGCAGTCAGCTGGTCTTCGGGGGCGGTTTAGGGTTTAGGGTTTAGGGTTTAGGGTTTAGGGTGTGTGTTATATGGACGCCATGATTTGATTGGCATTGCCACCAAGCTTGGAATAGGCTTCGTGCTCTTTCAATCCCTTGACAAGTTTGTCCTTGGCTCCAGCCTTTAGGGTTTAGGGTTTTGGGGTGTCGCATGCCGCGTACATCCTGCGAATAGTTGTTCTATATGCATGTATTACGTACGTACTATTTTTGTATGTAAGTCCCATATACATACATTCAAGCAGAGCTTGGGGGCGTAAAGTATATTATATATCTATATATATATATATATATATATATATACATATACTGGCATACGGACTGTCCAAGAATACGGATGCTGAATTTGTTGGAATGCCATTTACAACAAACCATGAACTGACGAAACCACTTCCAGCACACAAGAACATGGAATTCAAAAAGGCAACCTCTGGACTAATGACTAAAGCCCTAAACCCCGACCTCATCCCAAACCGAAACTCCCAAGCCCCCGACTCATCCATCGCCGTCAAAAGCTCCTCTAAGCTGAGCTCCTGAGCGCTTCAGGGCTCAGAAAGGGCGGCCGTCAAGGGCTCCTTTAGGGGTTCCTTTAAGGGTTCAGGATTTACGGCTTGAGGGTTCCATTCTGTGCTCATGCAAGACTACTTGTTTTTCCAAATCAGCCAAGAACATTGTATCTTGATTCCAAAAATTTCCCTGAACTAACCGAAAATATGGGGGCTGAATAAAGAATCACGGTATGCATGTCGCCCTAATCCTCGTAAAAGGCACCAAAACATTGAGATTTTCTGCAACAGCAACCATAACGTTTTCTTAAACACGAAATACGAAAGACGCTCAAAAACACCGCAAAAAGCCAGGTTTGGGATGTGGGGTGTCGGCCGCTTTGGCTTCTAGGGCTTGGTTTAAGGCTCGGCAACCCCCAAACCCTAAACCCTACACCCTACGCTAAACCACTAAGTTCACACCCAAAACTCTAAACTTAAACACTAAACGGCGGCGCGCCTCGGCAAGGCGGTCGAGCACCTGTTCACAGGCCCAAACACGGTTTGGCTGCAGTAGTTCCTTTCAGGGTTCCGTTAAAATGTTCTATAGGAGCTGCAAGCTTTAAGCTCTACGGTGTAGGTTTGAGGATGGGGGCTTCAGGTTTAGGTTTGAAGTTTAGGGCAGGACGTGGGGTTTAAGGGCTCCGGGTTGCGCGGTTCAGGCTTGATTAAGGTTGAGGCTCGACCTTGACCACACAGCTACCCTAAACCCTAAACCCTAAACCCTAAACCCCTAAACCCTAAACCCTAAACCCTGAACCCTAAACCCTAAACCACGTGCCACGATTTCCGACGATAAGGCCTCTGTTTAGTGCAGCTTGGGAGTCCTACGGTTGATGATATAAATCCTGCATGACCTTAAAGGCCCTAAACTATGGGAATTATGGTATACTCCTTAATATGGGTCATGCAGGATTTATATCATCAACCGTAGAATTCAGGCCGGGGGTTCAGGGTTTAGGGCTTCAGGGTCCTCAAGTTCGGAGCTTTGTCCATCCGTCCGGACCATGGGTCCTTCCTTGGCCCGATTTAAACATATGCATTTCGAAGGACCTGTATGAGGAAATCAGAACAAGTATAACATTACTTAGCGTTCAAGCATATGGCACGGTCAGAGCTCGAGGTTCACGAAACCTGGGTTTTGAAGGGCTCAGCAATTCATAAGGACTTCACAAGTTGCTTAATATAGGGGCCTTAATGATTAGAATGGGGTTTTGGGGCCCTGTATACTCTAATTACTGTGGGGACCCCAAACTAGTGTTGGCAATTATTTAAGCCCCTATAGTAGTGGACGGTCTTCTCGCGGGACAGGGGACTTAACAAGTCGCTTACAACATGTCAGGATACTTGGAGGATCAGGGGACATAGTAAGCAGGGTTCTAAGTAAGGTAGCTATCGTCATAGATCTGTTTGTAACCCTATAGGGAAGGATAACCAGACTTACTACGTCCAATGATCCTCTGCGTAGGTGCAAGCCCTGGTCATGCATGTTATCCTGCCCATCCCTCTGCTGATGGCCGGCTTACTAAGAACCGGGCTCTCCCTAAACCCTAAACCCCAAACCTTAAACCCTAGACCACTAAACCGTAAACCACTAAACCCCTAAACCCTAAACCCCTAAAACCTAAACCCCTACACCCTAAACCCCTAAACCCCTAAACTCCTAAACCCCTAAACTAAACCCTAAACCCCTAAACCCTAAACCCCTAAACCATAAGCCCTAAACCTTAAGCCCTAAAACTGAGGCGTCCATTCTCAAGTGCACATGCGACTCCGGGGCTCTAGGGATGGCCTTACGCACATCTGACAGCTTCACATCAGCGTTTAGGGGATTAGGGTTTAGGGTTTAAGGGCTTAGGGATTTAGGGTTCAGGGGTTTAGGGTTTAGGGTTTTGGGTTTAGGGTTTTGGGTTAAGGGGTTTAGGGTTTAGGCTTTGAGGTATGGGGTTTAGGGTTTAGGGCCTTCTCGTATTTAGATGACACACGCTCGAAACTCATAAGCTCTTCGCGCAGGGTGCGCTCGCGGGTGAACGATGACAACGAGTCCTCATGCATGAACGTAAAAACCCGGAACCCTAGACCCTAAGCACTGATGTGAACAACGCCCTACCGCTGACCCGCGGGGACGTCGGCTTCTTGCGCGACGAGGGACCGCGCGTCGCACAAAGCGGACAAACTCGCGGAACCATGTCGGCTTGGATTCCGCCTGCTGTTGCGTGGGAAAAGGTCCACCTCGCGCAACATCTCAAGAAGTGGGTTGTGGTCCACCGCCCGGTCTCCTTGGGAAGTTGCTATCAGCCTCTTGCTTTGCATTTGCGGTGCAGGGCTTCCGGCAACCTGTTCCTGCCGCTGGCCGGGGCCAAAGTGGACTGCAGGTTAGCCGCCCCACATGTCACAATGTCCACGTAGACGCGGTTCCGTAAGCTTTACGTGCTGAGCCCTAAAGCGCAGCCGAATCTACAGCAAAGAGAGCTAAGCCCTGCGTCGTCCTAATATAAATATAGGGGCCTTAATGATTAGAATCGGGTTTTGGGGTATACTATACTTTTACTTTAACAAGGAACCTCCACAACTGTATTGGTAATTATTTAAGCTTCTATACTGTCTATACTAATACAGCAGCAGAACATACAAATATGGAAAATGCAGAATGATGCAGCAAGTATCCAAGTTGAGTGGCCCTAATACAGACTTTTTTCCACCCACCCAGAGGGAAACAAACTCCACTCCGGATCGCTCAAATGCATGTCAAACCTGCCCTGTTCTGGGTTGGTTGTCCTGCTTATGAACCTACGTACAACTGATTGACTAAGTCCTCTGAACCTGTGCGTAAAGCCCCGTTAGCCCTAAAGCCTAAACCTAAAATCCTAGACCCTAAATACTAAACCCTAAACCCTAAACCTCAACATGTAACTCTGACACTTTGCACAAACTTCCGGATTCCCTCAACCTCGGCACCTGCCGGCGATCCGGGTCCAGAGACGCCAGCGCCGTTTCTGGGTCCATCTCCCGGCCGGCTTCGGCCTACTAGAGGGTCTGGGGGTCTTCCAGGACCCCCCAATGGCCCTTTTCTAGAGCCCTTATGGCCCTTTGTAGTGGGTACTTAGGGTGGAATAGAGGGTAGTTGAGGGGTCTTCCTATAGTATGATTATGATAAGGAACCAAGAAGGAAATACTGTTGGTAGTTACTTAGGCTTCTGGATTACACGGCTCAGGTCTTGGAGTTCAGGGGTTCAGGGTGGAGCATCATGGGTTCAGGGTTGAGGGTTCAGGGCACAGGGTTTGTCTGCTCGAAGGGTACTTAGGGGATCAGGGAACGAAGTAAGTAGGATTACAAGTAAGGTAAATATGTAGTCATATCTACTTCTAACCCCAATTGAGGTACAGATACCCCGACTTACGAAGTCCCTTGACCCTCTTAGGTACGACTCTGGTGGGCTTAGACTCGCAGCAAAGCACCTTTCTCAAGGACAGTGGGGCATCCGGTCCACTGGTTTCATGACGTATACCTTTTCGAGAATCTAAGCTGTGGGGATTTCGTCTTTTTCAAGCTCCAGGGCCCTATAAACGCCGCAGACCCCGAACCGAATCCTAAGCCCTAAACGCTCGGTTCACGAGGGCCATGGGGCTCTTCGGATAACCGTTAGATATACTTGGGTGGTTGTCAAAATTAGGGTCCCTGTTTGGGTAACCCAAATATTAGGTGCCGTATTATAATAAGGACCCAAAAAAGGGACCCTAATGAACACAACCACCCACTTAGGGGCTGAGAACCCTGGCTAGAAAATGTTAACCTTTTCAACTATGGCATCGTTACATTTTTCCACCCCCGAAAGGTTCAAGGTCACCTACTCAGCTGCTAAGTATAAGTTTGAATTCTAAAGAGCTTTGCAGCATTGTTTGTCCGCTATGGAGGATGTCAAGGCATTGCTGGATTTAAACCCTAAACCCTAAACCCGAAACCCTAGACCCTAAACCCTAAAGCCTTGATTAGCCCATCCCCACAAAGCCGGCCAAGCCCTAAACCCCAAACCCCTAACCCCAGACCCGAAACCACAAAAACCCTAACCTCACCCCCACTAAAGACAAAACAGAGCGAACCCTAAGCCCCAACCCTGTACCAAACCCATCAAGGAACCCTAAGGACCCTTAAGGAAGCCCTAAACCCCAAACCCTAAACCCAAAAGCCCAACCGCTTGACAAACATATTCCGGAACCTTAAGGACCCTTTAAGGGAGCTTAAGGGACCCTTGAAGGAACCCTACGAACTACGAACCCTTCGGGTACACCCTACACCCTAAAAGTCTAAACCCCAACCCCTTAACGAACCCTTCCCAGAGCCTCCAAAACCCCTTAATTAAGGAGTATACCTTAAATTATAATAGGATCCCTTATATGATTTAAGGTATATTCCCTAATTAAGGGGTTTTGGAGTCTCTGGGTTGAAGGAACCTTTAGAGCCCAATACCCCGCATTTAATCTAATCGGGTTGACTGCATTTGGGGCGCGTGGGAACGTCTTCCCTGCATTTGGGGCGCGTGGGCGTTTCAGCAGCTAAAGGGTCGAAAAAGTTGTACAAGTTCCAGAAGTTTTAACAGTTCTAAAAGTTCTAGAAGTTCTAGAGAAGTTCTACAAGTTCTAACAGTTCTAGAAGTTCTAAAAGTTCTAAAAATTCCAAAAGGGTTCAAACTGCGGAACTTTTAGAACTTTTCGAACTTTTAGAATTTTTGGAACTTTTAGAACTTTTAGAACTTTTAGAACTTTTAGAACTTCTAGAACTGTTAGAGCTTTTAGAAGCTCTAACGGTTCCAAAGGATCTACAGGTTCTAAAAGTTCTAAAAGTACCAAAAGTTCCAAACGTTCTAAAAGTTCGAAAAGTTCCAAAAGTTCTGAAAGTTCTAAGAGTTCTAAAAGTTCGAAAAGATCTAAAAGTTCCACAAACTCTAAAAGTTCTAGAAGTTCTAAAAGTTGTAAAACTTCTAGAAGTTCTAAAAGTTCGAAAAGTTCTAGAAGTTGTAACAGTTCTAGTAACCTTCACCCGGTTGTAAAAGTTCTAGAAGTTCTAAAAGTTCTGGAAGTTCTATAAGTTCTAGAAGTTCCAAAAGTTCTAAACGTTCTAAAAGTTCTGGAAGTTCTATAAGTTCTAGAAGTTCTAAAAGTTCTAAAAATTCCAGAAGGGTTCAAACTGCGGAACCATACACAGACATCATCAGAGCAAACACCTTTCAGGAAGCAAGGCTGCACCAAACACGCCCGAAGCCCCCCCACATATATCTACAGACATACAATACTTGTTTCATGTCGATGTATGTATATATCTATGTAATATATACACACACACCTGTATATATACACATATGTGTGTGTATGTCCAGGTATATATGTAGTGATATGTACATGTATGTGTTTGTGTCTTTTTTGCTTATGTATATTTATATTGCAAGTGTGTGTATGTATGTATGTATATGTACACATACATACATGCACATATGTGTATGTATACAAAGTTCTAAACGTTCCAAAGTTTCTAAAAGTTCTAAAAGTTCTACAAGTTGTAAACGTTCTAGAAGTTCTAAGAGCTCTAGAAGTTCTAAAAGTTCTAAAAGTTCATAAAAGTTCTACAAGTTGTCAACGTTCTAGAAGTTCTAAAAGTTCTAGAAGTTCTAAAAGTTTTAAAAATTCCAGAAGGGTTCAAACTGCGGAACCATACACAGACATCATCAGAGCAAACACCTTTCAGGAAGCAAGGCTGCACCAAACACGCCCGAAGCCCCCCCCCCCCCACATATATCTACAGACATACAATACATATTTCCCACATATATCTACAGACATACAATACATATTTCATGTCGATGTATGTATATATCTATGTAAATGTATACACACACACCTGTATATATACACATATGTGTGTGTGTATGTCCAGATATATATGTAATGATATGTACATGTATGTGTTTGTGTTTTTTGTTTATGTATAATTATACTGTAAGTGTTTTTATGTGTACATGTATGTATATCTATACATACATACATGCACATATGTGTATGTATACAAAGTTCTAAAAGTTCCAAAAGTTCTAAAAGTTCTAAAAGTTCTAGAAGTTCTACAAGTTCTAAAAGTTCTAAAAGTTCATAAAAGTTCTAAAAGTTGTAAACGTTCTAGAAGTTCTAAAAGTTCTAGAAGTTCAAAAAGTTTTAAGATTTCTAGAAGTTCTAGAAGTTCTAAAAGTTCTAAAAGTTCTAGAAGTTCTAAAAGTTCTAAAAGTGCGCCAAAATTCCCACGCACCCCAAACGCAGCGGAGACATTCCCACGCACCCCAAACGCAACTAGCGCATTTAATCAAGGAATATAGCTTAAATCATAATATGAAGCACTGTACAACTTAAGCCATATCCCTTAGTATCGGGCTCTCTGGGGAACCCTACTTAGAGGCCCAGGGGACTTAGGACTTAGTGCGTAGGTTATAAGCAGAGTTCTAAGTACTTTAAATGGAGCTACCCCAGTTATAACCCTACTTGTAACCGACTTACTAAGTCCCTGGGCCTCCAAGCAAGAACCCCCAAGGAACCCCTCCCCCTCTGAAAAGCCTACCCCCTTAAAACCCTAAACCCTAAACCCTTTGACGAACCCTTGAAGGAACCCTAAGAACCCCTACACATATATGACCCTAATCTCCTAAACCCTAAGCTAAGAACCCCTAAGGAACCCCTCTCCCCTTTCAAAAAGGCACCTCCAAGTAAGAACCCCTAAGGAAACCCTCCCCCTCTGAAAAGCCTACCCCCCTAAAACCCTAAACCCTAAACCCCTTAACGAACCTTGAAGGAACGCTAAGAACCCCTAAGGAACCCCTCCCCCTCCCCCACTTCAAAAAGAATATAGCTTAAATCATAATTTGAAGCCCTATATAACTTAAGCCATATCCCTTAATATCGGGCTCTCTGGGGAGCCCTAAATCTAAGAACCCTTAAGGAACCCCCCTCCCCCTTTAAAAAGGCACCTCCACGAAGCTCCGGAGCTCGGACTCCATGGTCTCCAGCTGTGCCTTCTGCGCGGAGACCTGCCAGGGGACATAGTACGTAGGGTTCCTTAAAGCCTTAAAGGGATCTGTAGGGTTCTTTCAAGGGCTCCTTAAAGGGATCTATAGAGCTCCTTAAAGAGATCTTTAGAGTTCCTTAAAGGGATCTATAAACCTCCTTAAAGGGATCTATAAGGTTTAGGGTCTATTTGGAGGATCAGGGGACTTAGTAAGTAGGGTTATAAGTAAGGGTAACGGCAGTCTCCAAGTCCCTTCTTCTGCTTCGGGACCTCAAAAAAGTGGCCTTAAAAATTCGCCTCGGCCCCGGCCGAAGCGGTCAGAGGTTCCTATTCGGATTCCCGGCTGTCTGTAGGCAGTCCCACCCAATTAATTTCACCCCCCCACACTCCCCCCCTGCCCTCCCCCCCCTGCCCCTCCCCTGCCCCCCCCCCCCCGCCCCCCCCCGCTCCCCCCTGCCCCCCTCCAGGCAAAGTTCGGAAATAGCGTTGCTTTTTGGGCAGCGGCTCCACGACCTAACCTTCTCATAGCATCGGATTCAAGCATCGCTATCGCCAGCTAGGGGGCGAATATAAGGCACAACGCGGAGATGCTACAATGGTTACATCACCCTCTTGCTGGCTTCTTGAGACAAGCCCTCTGCCTTACGCTGCTCTGCCCTGCTTTGCCCTGCCCTACAATTAATAAAGTGCGATTCCAACTGTTGTTATTTTCGTACAAGAGCTTCCTGCTGCGCCGGATGGTAGCCAGTCGCCGCATGCGCGAAAAGCCGGGCCGAGGCGGACGACGCGAAGCGTTTCAAATTCGCCTCGGCCCCGGCCGAAGCGGTCAGCAGTTCCTATTCGGATTCCCTCTATTCCCCACCTCTTAATCCCCTCCAGTGACCCCCCCCCAAAACAGGGCCCGCTGGCCCCCTCCCCTTAAAAATGGAAAGGTGTCGATTAGCCCCAAGGTCCGGTGGTGAATTCTCACCTCCTCCACTAGATTTTGGCTGTCTGTAGGCAGTCCCACCCAATTTCCTCCTTCCCACAGCCCCCCACCCTGCCCCCCCCCTGCCCCCCCGGCCCCCCCCCCGCCCCCCTGCCCCCCTCCAGGCAAAGTTCGGAAATAGCGTTGCTTTGGGCAGCACAGCACGCGGCTCCACGACCTAACCTTCTCATAGCATCGGAGATTCAAGCATCGCTATCGCCCTAGGGGCTATGTCGAATATCAGGCACAGAACGCGGAGATGCTACAATGGTCACATCAACCTCTTGCTGGCTTCTTGAGACAAGCCCTCTGCCTTACGCTGCTCTGCCCTGCTTTGCCCTGCCCTACAATTAATACAAGTGCGATTCCACCTGTTGTTATTTTCGTACAAGAGCTTCCTGCTGCGCCGGATGGTAGCCAGTCGCCGCATGCGCGAAAAGCCGGGCCGAGGCGGACGACGCGAAGCGTTTCAAATTACCTATACTATTTTGGGGTTCTTTAATAGAATTAGATGAGAATATAATTTGGCCCCCAAACCCTATTCCAATTACTTAGAGGATCCTCTAAGGGTTCCTTTAAGGGCTCCTATAAAGGTACAGGGGTTTAGTGGTTTAGGGTTTTAGGGTGTAGGGTTTAGGGAGTTTCCGAAAATTAGGGGTACCTCAAGGATCCCTTTAAAGGGATCATTTAAGGGCTCTTTTAAAGGGATCTATAGGGTTTACGGTTTAGGGAGTTTCCCAGAATTAGGGGTACCTTATTGTGGGGTCCTTATAGTAAGGATCTTACTATTTAGGGTGCTTTATCAGGGTCCTTACCCCAGGAATCAAGGAATAGCCCATAAACTAGGATGCCCAGTAACCTAGGAATATAAACGGCTCCCTTTTTGGTATTGGGTACTTTAATAAGGAACCTAGGACTACAAAAAGGGAATCAAGGTACTACTGGGCATCCGAGTTTCTTCTGCTTCGGGAGCAGGGGCCTGAGGACTTTAGGGATTTTGAGGCTATGGGGTTCAAGGTTGAAGGGTTTCAGGGTTTAGTGGTTTTATGGTTTAGGGTTTAGGGCCTTAGGGTTTAGGGCTTAGGGTTAGGTCAAGGGCTTTGACGGTTTAGAGGTTTTGGGGATTCAAGATTGACGAGTGTAGGTTAGGTCAAGGGCCTTGGGGGCTCAGAGGTTTCGGGGGTTCCAGGGTCTAGGGTAATGGCTTTGGGGGTTTGGGGTTTAGGGGATTTTGGTTTAGGGTTTAGGGTTTAGGGTTTAGGGTTCAGGGTTTAGGGTTTAGGGTTTAGGGTTTAGGGTCTAGGGTAATGGCTTTGGGGGTTTGGGGTTTAGGGGATTTTGGTTTAGGGTTTAGGGTTTAGGGTTTAGGGTTTAGGGTCTAGGGTAATGGCTTTGGGGGTTTGGGGTTTAGGGGATTTTGGTTTAGGGTTTAGGGTTTAGGGTTTAGGGTTTAGGGTTTAGGGTCTAGGGTAATGGCTTTGGGGGTTTGGGGTTTAGGGGATTTTTTAGGGTTTAGGGTTTAGGGTTTAGGGTCTAGGGTAATGGCGTTGGGGGTTTGGGGTTTAGGGGATTTTGGTTTAGGGTTTAGGGTTTAGGGTTTAGGGTTTAGGGTTTAGGGTCTAGGGTAATGGCTTTGGGGGTTTGGGGTTTAGGGGATTTTGGTTTAGGGTTTAGGGTTTAGGGTTTAGGGTTTAGGGTTTAGGGTCTAGGGTAATGGCTTTGGGGGTTTGGGGTTTAGGGGATTTTGGTTTAGGGTTTAGGGTTTAGGGTTTAGGGTTTAGGGTTTAGGGTCTAGGGTAATGGCTTTGGGGGTTTGGGGTTTAGGGGATTTTGGTTTAGGGTTTAGGGTTTAGGGTTTAGGGTTTAGGGTTTAGGGTCTAGGGTAATGGCTTTGGGGGTTTGGGGTTTAGGGGATTTTGGTTTAGGGTTTAGGGTTTAGGGTTTAGGGTTTAGGGTTTAGGGTCTAGGGTAATGGCTTTGGGGGTTTGGGGTTTAGGGGATTTTGGTTTAGGGTTTAGGGTTTAGGGTTTAGGGTTTAGGGTTTAGGGTCTAGGGTAATGGCTTTGGGGGTTTGGGGTTTAGGGGATTTTGGTTTAGGGTTTAGGGTTTAGGGTTTAGGGTTTAGGGTTTAGGGTCTAGGGTAATGGCTTTGGGGGTTTGGGGTTTAGGGGATTTTTAGGGTTTAGGGTTTAGGGTTTAGGGTTATTTTAGGGTTTAGGGTCTAGGGTAATGGTTTGGGGGTTTGGGGTTTAGGGTTTAGGGGGTTTTTAGGGTTTAGGGTCTAGGGTAATGGCTTTGGGGGTTTGGGGTTTAGGGGATTTTGGTTTAGGGTTTAGGGTTTAGGGTTTAGGGTTTAGGGTTTAGGGTCTAGGGTAATGGCTTTGGGGGTTTGGGGTTTAGGGGATTTTGGTTTAGGGTTTAGGGTTTAGGGTTTAGGGTTTAGGGTTTAGGGTTAATGGCTTTGGGGGTTTGGGGTTCAGGGGATGTTGGGCAGGAGGATCCGATGACTTAGTACAGGGGCTACAAGTAAGGTATCTATAGTTCTATTCTATCTACTGACAACCCGCCTCTGGGCACTTATAGCCCGACTTACTAAGTCCCATGATCCTCTACCCAGACCCCCCAGGAGGATCCAAAAAGTAGGGCGTTCATATAAAGTACCCTTAGTAGCATAGGGTCCCAAATTAGGGGATCTACTTCTAGATCCTCGCGGGGGTCTGGGTTACTAAGTCCTATGATCCTCTAAGCACGGCTTGAGGGCTCAGGGGCTTAGGACACCAAACGTCCTTGATTGAGGAATAGACCTTGAATAATGTGGGGATAGAAACTAGGGTTTCTAATGGACCCCTGAAAGCCTAAAAGTGATCCCCCAATTATCGCGTATAGCTCTTAAGAAGAAGATAGTAAACTCTAAGTTTTAAACCCTGAACTTCTGTTACAGGGTATAGTCCCCAAGATAGCAAACTCTACATGTTAAACTCTAAACTTCAGTTATAGCGCTTCGCCCTTAAGATAGCAAACTCTAACGTTGAACTCTGAAGGGTTTAGGCTTAGCCATCGCCTCCTGCACAGAGTCCTTCAGCTTCTGCTCCTCCTGCAGCAATGGGGTATTGAGGTTCAGCCCAGAGACTCCGATATCCCTTAATTTAAAGAATACTCCTTAAATCATATTAGGGATCCTACTATAATTTAAGGACTATCCCTTAATTAAGGGATATTGGAGTTTCTGGGAGGGCTTAGTAGCGAGGGTTTAGGAACTAGGGTTTACAGTAGAAGCCAGAAAGTTGGAATATCATTATCGTAACCCCTTTAAGGTAAATTATAGGGTATCCTACCATGAAACCATATTCCAACTTTCTGGAGTTTCCTATAGGGGTCTGGAGCCAACCCCTACTTACGGTGGCCTCGGGAATTAGACGAAGGGAGGCCATGGCTCGCATATCTTGGGGTTTTCCTACGGAATTCTATGCATAATGACCTATAATAGTCAAGCCCCATATCTAGAGTAAGCTCTTATTTTTTTATGGCTCCGGGTTTGCAGTTTCGGGTTTAGTGTAGGGTTCTGTGTTTAGCTGCCTTTCCTTCAATGTACTCTAGAATTCGTGTTTTCAGGTACACGAACGTCCCGAAACATCAAGCCTGAGCCGAAGCCCTACAGTCCTCAACCCTTAAAGTAAAAGCCAGAAAGTTGGAATATGATTATCCTATACCCTTTATGGTAAATTACAAGGTATCCTACCCTGAAACCATATTCCAACTTTCTGGAGTTCCCTTTAAAGCCTAGCTTCCTGAGTAGCCCCCATTATAATAAGGGCACCCTTCTTCCTACTATTCGGCTTTTATAAGGTTGACGTGCAAAAAAACAAAAGAATACCACTCAGGAACCTAGAACCGGAGTTGGTATGCTTCGTGAATGAGCTAGTTGAGTTTCCTTTTTATGCTGTGGAAACCTGGGACATCTGCCGCAATTGAAGAAGCATTCCCTCATGACTTGTGGCTTTAGGGGTTTAGGGCTTAGGGTTTAGGGTTTAGGGCAGTTTAGGGTGTAACCTGCTCGAGCCCGCTGGTCGGCAGGAAACTGAAGCAGAACGGTGGAGCTCTCGCACCTGGTTCTTGATCAAAATATACTGCGACTCATGAAAGAACACATAGGAGCAATACGTGCAATTCTTCCATACGCCATGTCTGGATGCAGGATGGGAGACATGCTGCCGAACCTCTCTTTCAGATTTCTCTCTGTGCATGTCAGAGCATGGGTCGTTCTCCGTTACAGGATCGCTCGACTCCTTCCATTAGCAAAGTAGCCGGCTTGTCCAGTTGTTCAGCACTGTCGAAGTGCGCAAACTAGGATACAGGCCGAATCCTGCTTGTCAGAGCATCCAGACTGTATGCTTGTGCCCAAGACCAGTTCTCCTTCTCCGCCTCCTCCGCCCATTGTATACTGCGCCATAAGGCGGTGCGAGGGGAGCTACACCACTCTGAATCACGGCGATGCGCCTGGCATAGAGTGAGGTGGTCCCGGGAACCAGCATGGATCGCTGAAAGAATGTCACCACCAAACCCGAGCCAGCCTCGTACCCCCCAACGTCAAACCCGAAGCAAACCCAAGCCTTAAACCCAAACCTGAGCTCGAAGCCATAAACCCTAAACCCCCATCCCTGAACCCAAAAGCCCTACATACCCTAAGCCCGAAACCCTAAACCCGAAACCCCAAACAAAACCATAAGCTCTATAAACCCTTAGCCACAAGTCCTAAACTCTCAAGCTCTCTCTAAGACCTTTTGTGAAACCTAAGCCCGAAATCCTATAATCCTAAACCCCAAACAAAACCCAGATGCTCTAGAATCCTAAACTAGACCTAAGAGTACCCTAGGAATGAAATGGGTGCCCTGTTTGGTTTAAAGGGGCTTATAAGGGAACCTGAACCCCAAAAAAGGGAATAAGGGCCTACTCTAGGTCCTAGTAAACCCAAACCCACAACCCTAAGGCGAACCCAAGCCACAAGCCCTCATTCTTAAACTCCAAAGGCTCCGAGATCTATTCAAAACCCGAAGCTGTAAACCCTAAATCCTGAGCCCCAAGCAACAACCCTAAGTTCTATAAAACTGAGGCCATAAACCCTAAGTGCTCTAGGATCCTTGGACTTAGTAAGTCTGGTTATAGTACCTCATTAGGGTTACAGGCAGACGTAACTATAGGTGCCTTACTTATAACCCTACTTACCTCTAAGTCCCTTAATCCTCTAAGTAGACCCTGAACCCTAAACCTTCATAGTACCCCAATAGATCCCTTAAAGGGTCCCTTAAATGAACCCCACCTACCTCCAAGGATGTAAAGGTCCACAGGCCCACCGCCGACAGCTCTCGCGCGAGCTGCTGGGGCCCCAGACCCTCCAAGCAAACACTAAACCCTATAAGCCCTACCTGTAGCCGACAAAGACCTACCTTTTTGGGATTCCTTATTATGGTTTCAATAAATAGTTCCTTTAAAAGGTAGGTCTTTTTGGCTACAGGTAAACACTAAACCCCTAAACCCGACACTTCTAAACCCTAATCCATAAACCCCCCGGAGGCCCTAGATAGAACCCTCCAAATCAGCATTTTCACTAAACCCTAAAACCCCAGAGAGCCCTTGTCGAAACCCGTAAGGAACCCTTATTACAGAACCCTTGAATAAACCCGTCTAGAAACCCTATAGTAGAAGCCAGAAACTTGGAACATCATTATCCTCGTGCCCTTAAAGCAAAGAAAAGGGGATTCCAGCAAGAGTCATCCTAAATCAATGTTCCAATTTTCTGGGGTTCACTTTAACCCTAAACTCGAAACTCTTTCAAACCCTAAACCCTAAACCTTAAACCCTAAACCCTAAACTCTAAACCCTCAACCCGAAACTCTAAACCCTACATAAGCCCTAAGCCGCAGCTCCTCGTCCAGCTTTTTCTTGGCATCCTCGAGCTCGGTCTGCCTGCAACTCAGGGCTTTTAGTGAACCCCAGAAAGTTGGAACATGGATTTAGGAGGATCTGTGCTAGGATCCCCTATACTTTGCTTTATGGGCATGAGGCGAATGATGTTCCAACTTTCTGGCTTCTACTGTAGAGGGCTGAGGGCAAAGGGTTTAAGGATTAGGGTAAAAAGCTTTAGGGTTGAGGGCTAGGGTATAGGGTGCGGGGTCTGGGGTTTAGGGTATAGGGTTTAGGATTTAGGGTATGAGGTAGAGGGTTTAGGGTTATAAGGCTTAGGTTTTGGTGTTACTCTGGCAGTTTAAGAGGTTTTGGCTTACAAGGCTGGAGCTTTTATGGGTGTTCTTAGTAGTAGGGTTTAGGGTTTAGGGTTTAGGGTTTAGGGTTTAGGGTATAGTGGTCAGGGAATTCGACAGCGGTTCTGTAGGCTTTACGATGCTACAACCGTGTTGATAGGATTTCTGTTGTTTCGGTGTGTTTACAAGGTTCCCAGAGACTCGAATATCCCTTACTTAAGGAATATACCTTACGCAAATTACAGTAGGATCCCTAGTATGGTTTAGGGTATATTCCCTAATTGAAGGATATTGGAGTCTTTGGGTTGACAGTAAACTTTCAATGGTGCTGAGAGGGTTCTAGAATCGGCCAGGCCAGGAAGCAGGATTTTGAGTCTCGGGCTCAGGGCTTCGGGTTTACGGTTTAGGCCTGAGTGCATGGTGTTCGGGGCTTGGGGTTTGGTGCTTAGCTTTTACTTTGGCCCCCAATAACCTAGCTTTTTAAGGACTTATATAAGGAAGCTGTATTAAGGAACCCTAAAAAAGCACGTTTCTTAGGGGCCAGGCAGGGTTTAAGGCTTTTGTGAAGACTGGCGCCTCGTCTGTTGCTGGCTCAGCTGCTCGCCGAGAGGCTCGACGACCGCTGGCCATCGCTCCTCACGACTCACAACGTCTCCAAGGGTCCCTTTAAAGGGGTCAATAAGGCTTCCTTTACTACTATTTGCTTAAGAACCCCCAAAAAATAAAAAAATATAATCCCTATATTATCCCTATAAGGAATATATTTTTTATTTTTTGGGGGTTCTTAAGCAATAGTAGTTTAAGGGTTCCTCTAAAGGGATCTATATGGTTTAGGGTTTAGGGGACTCCCAAACCCCCTTAAGTAAGGAATATGTTTGAAATCATATAAGGGCTCCGATAATCAGTTGAGAGATCTTCCCTGTTTAAGGGAATTTGGAGGCTCTCCTTAGAATTTAAATTGAATCGTAGGACTCTGTAGAAATCCCATATCCTCCGAGACCCGAGACCCTCAAACCCCTCAACTGTAGGACTCTGCAGAAATCCCCAATCCTCCGAGACCCGAAACTCCTAAATTGTGGGACTTTCAAGCTCGTTTCAAGGAACCCGTAAATGACCCCTAAAACCCCACAAGAACCCTTGAAGGTAACCCTACTACAGAATCCTATAGTTCCCTTTAAAGGGGGCCCTATTCTAGAACCCTGTCGCACCCGTTAAAGGAACTCTTAAAAAAACGCAAACGAATCCTATTCGAATTATTAAGGCCCCTTCATTATAGTACCCTTATAGATCCCTTGTAGTAGCCCGTTACTTGGAGGATCAGGACTTAGCAAGTAGGGGTAGAAGTAAGGGAGTATAGCTATATCTACTTATAATCTTCATTAAGGTACTTGTAGCCCTACTTACTACGTCCCATGATTCTCTAAGTAGATCTTAAACCCATAAACTCTTGTATTACCCCTACATATCCCTTAAAATGACCCGTAAAGGAACCCCTAAAGAATCCTATTCTGATTGTTAAGGCCCGTACATTAAAGCAGCCTTCTAGATCCCTAGACCCTAAACCCTAGACCCCTAAACCCCTACACCCTAGACCTTACTTCTTTAAGGATCCCTTTATAGGAAGCTCGTCCTTGAGGGAAGAGGTCACCGCTTTCACGAGCTCCTCCCTCTCGTCCCGTCTAGGCCGAGCCGGCCTCGCTGAAGGATAAGGTGTTGTTGGTTTAGGGTATTTTTTGGGTTTAGGGTTCTAGGATACCCAGTAACCTAAGAATAAAATGCCTCTCTTTTTGGTATTGGGTAACTTTATAAGGAACCTAGGACTACAAAAAGGGAATAAGGGTATTACTGGGCATCCTAGTGTTGGTTTAGGGTATTTTTTGGGTTTAGGGTTTTTGTTGGTGCATCAGGGTTTTTGTTGGCTTATTCGTGCATTTTTGGTTCGCTAGGGTTTAGGGTTTAGGGTTTTTGTTGGCGTATTCTGGAAAATGTTTGGTTTACTAGGGTTTAGGGTGTACAGCTTAGGGTTGAGGGAGATCTAGAAGGGCTCTACAGAGGCCTCAGGGTTATATAAGGGTCTGGTTTCCACGAAATACAGGGAGCTATACGAGCTCTATAAGGTTTAGGTGCCCCAGGGTCTCTTGAAGGCAAGGGTCTCCGTCTTTCTGGTGTTCAGTTTCAAGGAAGCAGAAAAAAAAACTGATATTAATGGGGAACCGAGCTGAGAAAAAGTCCGAACCCAAACCCAAAAACACGACCCAGAGAGCCCAACAAGTCTCAATTACGGAAAATACCTTGAATCATAGGGGGCTTAATCTTCTGGTTTAAGATATCCCTTACTTACGGGGTAACGGGCTTTGGGCACCTTAACCTACCGACACCTACATTAGTGTAGGCCCACTATGAAGTCCATAGTAGGGTCTATTTGGACTTCGAAGAAAGCATCCTGGACTTAGAGAAAAGCAGATTGTGGAAGGTTCACGTAAACCCTAAACCCGCAAAGCCTAAACCCAAGCATGAAGTGAGGCTACTTAAAGGATCTGGGGACGTAGTAAGTAGGAATATAAGTAAGGTAACTATAGTTATATCTACTTATAACCTTAATTAAGGGACTTATAACCCTACTACTAAGTCCCATGACCCTCCAAGTAGGACCCAGGGTAGCGGACTTCCGGTTCGGGCTCAGGGTTTAGTGCCAGTAGAAGCACGCAAGCCAGGTGCCAGGCACCGGGGTTGCCACGACGGTAGCCTGCAGCAACGGTTTAGGGTTTAGGGTTTAGGGTTTAGGGTTTAGCATGAAAGAGCTCTGTACTTGAGTCTGGGTTCAGGGCGTGTGGCGTTGCCCTCATAGAATCGAAATTTGAGGGGTTCTTCCAAAAGCCAAACTCCTACTACGGCTGATGGTAAAAATCCTGCATTACCCATAATAAGGAATATACCATAATTCCCATAGATTAGGGTCCTTACGGTAATGCAGGATTTATATCATCAACAGTAACACCTAACACACCCTAACAAAACTCTGAAACCTTAAAGTGCTACGGGACGTTTGAAACAAGCACGAAGAGAATTCTGAGGCCGCTTCCACAGGCTGTGCTTGTGAGACAGGGATCGCCGTGACCTGAGATAGGGTTAGGGTTAGGGTTTAGGGTTTTGGGTTTTGGGTTTTGAGGGCGGGCATTCGGGGTCTGGTGGGTACCCTCAACCCTAAACCTTCCCAGAAAGGGGGGGTTGCGGTTCGGGCTGGGATTCGGGATGATATGCCGAGGTTCCACGTTCCCTTACATTAGGGTTAGGGTTTAGCGTTCGTGGGTTTAGGGTTTAGGGTTCCATTGTAGCTGCTGGCACCCAAGTCCTTCTTAATGCTTTTCTTTTCGGTGCTCTTGTTTTGTACTATCGGTGAAACCCTTCGGTGTGGGTATGCGATCACAAACCCAAACCTTGAATTACTGCGCGCAAAACATAAACTCCTGACAAGTCCCCAAGCCCTCAACTACCCTGAACTGAACCACGAGATAGTCATTAACCCTGAACCACTACACCCCTAAACCCCTAACCCCCAAACTCTAAACCCCCTAAACTTCCTAAACCCGTATGCTTCCCACACCCCTAAGCCCCTACACCCCTATACTTCCTCAGCCCCTACACCCCTAAACCCCTAACCCTAAACCCTTAGGCCCCCAAACCCCTGCACCCAACACCCCTAAACCCTCGGTTTAAGGGTTCAAGGTTTACCCCTAAACTTCCTAAACCCCTAAACCCCTACACCCCTAAACTTCCCAAACCCCTACACCCCTAAATCCCCAAACCCCTACACCCTTAAACCCCTAAACCCCTCAAACAGAGTCAACAACGAGAGGGAGTCATCAAATTTGGGCTTGGTGGGGGGGGGGGGTTAGGATGTTTTCTTACGGGTTTCAGGGCTTCGGGGGTTAGGGCTTAAATGTTATAGAGATTAGTGTTGTGGGGATCAGGATGGTTCAGGGTGAGAAATGACAGGGCTTCGGAGTGAAAACCCAAAAAAAAAACCCAAAACCCTCAACCTTAAACCCTAAAACCCTAGGCTCTGTATTGGGCGCGCACTTCTGAAACACCCCAGCCAAGCACCCTGCTGCTGCAGCCCCGTCTCTGAGGCGTGGCACCCCTACCAGGTCGCCTCCCTGTGTCCGAATCTTTGTCTTGCCGATGTTAGGGTTTAGGGTTTAGGGTCTAGGGTTTAGGGTTTAGGGTTTAGGGTCTAGGGTTTAGCGTTTAGGAGTAAATCTTCGATGCCGGAGGGAAGACATGTTTCATTGAGGCTTCCACCGCTCGTGCGGCTTCTGGCGGTCCTGGAAACCAATCCGTGTGGAGCAGGCCTCTTTCTTGCAGGGCGGCATGCACCGCTTGGAAAGTCAGCTGGTGAACGGCCCCAAGCTCTCGGTTGTGGCGGGCCATTCCCAGGACCAAGCCGCCTTTGCTCGCATGACCTATGTCAGGTCATCCCCGGGCCTAGAACCCGTTGAGTACTAGTTCACTAGAATAGGGCTTGGAGGGAAGGCTAAGTCTTTCCGGCTTCTATACTGTGGTAGAGTTCTTTTCGCTTGGGCTCAGGTATTCTTCCGGCTTCTAGACTGCGGTAGAGTTCTGCCCGATTGGGGTTTAGATCTCAGGTGTCAGGGTTCAGGCTTTAACGTCTGGTCGCAAGCTCGAAAACCCTCAACCCTCTCAGGCTTTTTAGTGTGAACAACTACTATAGGGGCCTGAATAATTGCCTATAATATTGTGAGGGTTCCTTATGATAACTATAGTATAATGTGCCCCAAAACTGAATTCTAATTGTCAAGGCCCCGACATTAAGCAGAGCATCTGCAAAGTGCTCTAGGGCCGCGACGACAGCTGCTGGCTGCGCAGGGGCTGGCTGCGATGCAGGCTGCTGTCCTGCGAGATGGCTGAGCTTCGAATAACTCAACGGCCCTAAACCCTAAACTATAACCACTAGACCCTAAACCGTAAATAAGCTCTAACCCCCCGAGACCCTAAACTCTAACCCTAATTAAATTCGAACCCCCCTAGACCCTAAACCCTAAACCCCTAAACGGCCCTAAACCCTAAACTCTAACCCCCTAAACGCTAAACCCTAAGCCCCTAAACGGCCCTAAACCCTAAACTCTAACCCCCTTAGACCCTAAACCCTAAACCCCTGAACGGCCCTAAACCCTAAACTCTGACCCCCCTAGACCCTAAACCCCTGAACGGCCCTAAGCCCTAAACTCTAAACCCCCTAGACCCTAAACCCTAAACCCCTGAACGGCCCTAAACCCTAAACTCTAACCTCCCTAGACCCTAAACCCTAAACCCCTGAACGGCCCCAGACCCTAAACTTAAACTCTAACCTCCCTAGACCCTAAGCCCTAAACCCCTGAACGGCCCTAAACCCTAAACTCTAACACCCCTAGACCCTAAACGGCGCTTCAGGGACTCCAATATCCCGTAGTTAAAGAATATTCCTTAGATCATATACGCTACTGGATTCGGGTTTAGGGATCGTGATGGACTTCATCCTGCGTGACGAGCTCAGAAAAATCTTTGTCAGGGGGACCAATCACCACCAGCACACTTTCTCACAAATCACTAGAGGTGCCCGCATTTGAGAGGCCTACCCCTCATCCCCTGCAGAACAGCTTGCGTCTTGAGCTTCGGAGCTGAGTCTCGCTCCCCCTTGTATTTGGGGGATACCATTCAACGGAAGTCGCAGAGCACACAGCGCACAACCATGTATAGAAGTTGTATAGGGCTTGGGTCCTGGAGTTCTGACCGGAAAGTTTTGACCGAAAGTGTTGGCCGGGGTTTTCGTGTAAAATCTGTACAATCGGGGTGGGGGTTGGGGCTCGGCTGAGGGGCTGGCTGGGCTGGGGGTTGGGGCTGGGGGTTGGGGATAGGGGAGCTGCGGGGCCGGGCTGGGTATGGGATTGCCGCTGGGCTGGGTCCTGCAAACAGACATTTTCCATGTTGAGGGTTCGGAGTTTATGGTTTAGGATAAGTTGACCTGAATAGTTGGAATTGGGGTATATCCTGTTGTGAATAGGGACTCTGAAAGGATGCCATGACTGACTGTTCCGACGCCATGTAAACCCCAATCCCTGAACCCTCAAACACCAAAATACCGTGCAGCACTGAGCCCCGAAGCCCGAAAATGTCTTTAGGTTTACGCCGCAGGCAGAGGTAGCGAAGTCCGTCTCCAGTGAGACCCAATTAAGCACTATGCCTGAAATTCTACCCCACCCCCCAACCCCCACCCCGCTTCTTCCACCCTTTTTAACCTCACTCAGTAAGCCTCCCTTGATCCTAAGCTATACCCCCCTTAGAACCATAGTAAAAAAAACTATGTGTAGTATTCTCTTGGGGTTTATATGAACAAAACATGCTTCCTAAGGAGACTATAGTAAGCAGGCATCTACAATTGACGACATGGTCTCGCACGGGTCCTCCCAGGCCAAGGAATCCGAAAAGCCCGCTGGCACCCCTCAGTTGGCATTCGGGCTTCTGACCCAGAGACTCCAATATCCCTTAATTCAGGAGTATTCCTTAAATTATTGTAGGATCCCCAATATGATATTAAGGTATATTCCTTAATTAAGGGATATTGGAGTCCCTGGGGATTTTCTTGCGAGAACGACACCCAAGGCTCCGGGCCCAGATCCAGGGCCCAATGAGCCATGATAAGGTTTCTCATGAAGGGCTTCTAGGATACCCAGTAACCTAAGAATAAAAAGGGCTCTCTTTTTGGTATTGGGTAACTTTATAAGGAACCTAGGACTACAAAAAGGGAATAAGGGTACTACTGGGCATCCTAGATAACAAGGTTTTTCATGAGGGGCTTTCTAGGCTTGCAGAAGGACTGCGGATGTTGGGTTTGCAAGCTTATGTTCTCTGGAGTCGAGGTTTCGTTTGAAGGTTTAGAGCGTTTAGGGCTTAGGCCGGGGGGTGCAAAATCAGAACCTTGATCCGACCTAAGCCCTCGGAATGAGGCTTAGGGTCTGGGGTTCACGGGTTCAGGGGTTTAATGTTCACAAGGGGTGCAATAAGGATCCCACCGTAAGGCCCTCAAGGACAGGGCGCTCCTGGAGCATGGGTCTACATCAAACCCCACAGTCTCTATTGCACAGTTGTCAAGATTACAGCCTACTTAGAGGATCATGGGACTTAGTCAGTGGGGTTATCAGTGGGGTTATAAGTCCCCTAAGTGGGGTTATCTTAATTCTAACCTACTTGTAACCTTACTTCAAGAGTCCCATGAGCCTCCAAGTACCTGGACCTCCAAAGTATGTAGAATAATGGGCTTTATAGGTTTTGGGCCATGACTTTACCTACTTTGGGCCTTTAGGTAAGGGCTTAGGGTTTAGGGTTGAGGCTGAAGGGTGCAGGAGTGAAGAGTTGGATTTGAAAAGCGAAAAGTTGAGTTTCGGGACCGCAAAAAGCACATAAGCACAAGTATTTATAAGATATCCCTACCTTCTTGGCCTTCATTATGAGGAGTTGAATATGTGATATCCCTATCCATGGTGTTGCTTATGTGCTTCTTTGGGGCCCTAAAATTTTGAAAAGATGGGCTAGCGGCTAGCGGCTACCGCGAAGGGATTAGGCCAGAAGGATTCCAACATCGATGGAATCTATCCAGAAACCACAACCCCCGTCAAGTATTCGGAAGATTCAAGCGAAAATGATAAACCCTGACAAATACGACTCACTACGAATGTTACGTCCAAAAAACTGGCTTCGGGTTCACTGGCTCTTCAGGAGTTTCGGGTAGAGGGCTTCTATAGACTAAAAAGGAAACACCAAACTCTAAAACCTGGGTGGTTGTCAAAATAATGGTCCCGTTTTGGGTACCCTAAATATTCGGTGCCGCATTATAAAACAGGACCCGAAAAGGGATCCTAATTTTGACAACCACCCACCTGGATCTCATCACATCCAGTCTTTAGCAGTAGGGCCGGATCTGCCGTTGAGGGACCCCGTAACCCCCACCCCCAAAGAAACCCGAGAGCCCCTGTTATTCGTCCCTTTAAAGGAACCCCAGAGCCCCTATCTTCGTCCCTTATCTTAGTTGCTGAGTTCATAAGCCCCAAAAAGTGTACACTTTTAGTTTTATAGTGGGTAATAATTAGTATCCCAAAAAGTGTAAAGTGTATCCACTCAGCTACTAAGTTTAAGCAAAGGGCGACTGCTGCGCTGGCTGTGCAGGTTGCGTGGCTTGCTGCGCAGAGGTGGGCCTCGGGTTTAGGGTTTAGGGTTCAGTGGGGTTCCTTTGAGGGATCAACATAAGGGGCACTACAGAGTGGAAGCCGGAAAGTTGGCATGCTGGTATCCCCTAAGCCCTCGAATAAGGGCCATGGTCGCAGCATCCCTCCCTTACCGATGTTCCAACCTTATCGCCTCTACGAAAAGAGTTCTCCAGGGTTTCAATATCTGGGCGTCCATATATCGGGTCTTGGGGTAATAGTATGACTGGGCTTTTAAGTAACCAGGGAGAAAAAAGTATAAACTTGTATTTCATAATGGTTTCGTTCAGCAAAAAGTATTAAAGTACGGTACTCCAAAGCCCCTAAACCCTAAACCCTAAACCCTAAACCCTAAACCCTAAACCGTGATTATCTGGGGACTCGAAGGTTTCCGGTTACTCGCTATTCCGACCTCTATATATTACAGGCGCAGCCTTAGGATTTAAAGCTCAGGAAGTTCCGTGTCTTTGGTGTTCTTGATCTGGGCGGCCTTCTAGTGGTATGTGTGGTTACCCAAAGTTGGGGTTTGGAGTTCGGGGTTTTAGGCGTTAGGTCTATGGTTTAGGGTTCTACGGGCTTCCGAAAGCTAGGGATACCATGCCGAGGGGTCATTATACTAACTAGGATACCCAGTAACCTAAGAATATAAAGGCCTCTCTTTTGGTATTGGGTAACTTTATGAGGAACCTAGGACTACAAAAAGGGAATAAGGGTACTACTGGGCATCCTAGTTATACTAAGGATCCTATTACCCGGATAAGCCTTCGACAACTGAATCCTAAAAATAAGAAAACCCTGAGACAAAAAAGCAAACCCCAAACCTAAAAGCCGCAAGCCCTAAACCCCCAAACTCCAAATCCAAACTCAGGCATCCCTACAGAATGAAGCCTAAACCCTAAACCCGAAATCGTGTCTCAAACCGGAAATCCAGGTTCGGCTTCCTTTCTGAGCCTTTTCCACGCCTTGGACAGGTCATCTCCGCCGGAGTCCGCGCGAAACCTGATGAGCTTGCCTTTTTCCGCCCCCGGCTTTGTTTTGTGTGCATCACTGCTTCTCGGCGCTTGCGCTTCTGGGCTTTGGACTTGGCTGGTCTCTCAAACGCAGCCTCCTTCAGATACCGTGAGCGCTTGACACGTGCGCTGACTTCGTTCATAAAATGACCGATGTTCTCACCGAAGTCCTTGCTGGCGAGATTGGCGACAACTTCGTCAATTGCATCGGGGCCCTGTACCCGCAACCCAGACCCCCTTCACTCATGTACCCTTAAGTGCTGGAGGTTCCAAGCTTTGTTGCGCTTCAAAACCCACAAGCTGCAACGCCCCACAACTCCTGCAAGGGTCAAGGCTTAGGGTGCAGGGTTTAGGATTAGGGCTCAGGGCTTGGGGCTTATAAAGCTTACCTGTATCCCCAAACCCTACAAAATAGTAGGTGATGACCCCTTTAGGGTTTGGGGTTTAGGGTTCGGGCCTTGGGTGTACTTGGAGGGTCGGGGGACTTAGTAACTGGTTCGTTTACGGACTTATAAGTACGATAACCCGAATTAGGGGTACTTAGAAGCCTACTTACTACCTGCTTACTAAGTCCCCCGACCCTCCAAGTAGGGCTTAGGAGTCCTTCGGCCCCTGGCCGTGCTACGGTGGTGGTCGAGTAGACGGGAGGAGAGCTCGAGAAGCTTTCGGCGAGGCTCTTGACCTCAGCTTTTTTGGGGGTTAAAGGATTTAGAGTATAACTATAAAGGGGGCTATAAGGGGATAATACTAATGATCGTAATTATTCTAGGAGTTCTACGGATTCTACGGAAGTTCGTGTTCTGTTTGTGGCTTATGCTTGTCTCTGATTCACTTCAGGGAAGAGGAGGTTAGGGTTTCCTGGTCATGGCTTTCAGGCTACAAGCTCTTCAGAAGGGTTTAGGGTTTTTTTTTTTAAGCTCCTTTTTGATGTCCGCTCACACAAGCATCAAGACCGTCTACGATCAGGAGGCACGTGCCACTTCGGCACAGAAAACTCACCCCTCATGGACGACGTCGATCTGCCTTCAAGACCCTTCGTGCTCATCCGACTTTGCACCAGACCCTCCTTCCATAGGACCCTCTGTTCTCGTCACCTCCCCGGCTGGATGGAGCAACTGCAGCGTATCTTCCTCATGGTCTCCACTGGTGAGTAAATACTGGTTCTGTAGAAGTTCCAACACCCCTGGCCCATACCTCTGTAGGATCTCCTTGTCAGCGACCTTGCCTTCTTTCCAGTCGTCAAACATAGAGAAGTATTCCTCCATTGTCAGGTCCTTGGGCAACCCATCTTCGTCCAGGAGTGTGTCTGGCGAAACCGAGCCCCATGGTAGGGTGGAGACCTGGCTGGGATCCCGAGGCGCCACTGCCACAGGCACCGGCACTGCTTCAGCGGCGGTTTCCTCAGCGATTTGGAGTCGTAGGCGTAGTTCCACCGAGCCGTCATTCTCCACCACTGATCGCAGGGCCTTTGACACTTTCGGGCGATCACCACTGCCCGATGCCAATTCAACCTCCACGATCTTACGTTTGGGTCTCCTGTCGTGCGGTGTAGACAAGTGCATCTCGTCCCACAGTGCCCAATCATCATATCGTTGCTCCATGATGGCTCTTTGTTTTTGCTCCGGTTTAGGGTTTAGGGTTTAGGGTTTAGGGTTTAGGGTTTAGGGTTTAAAGTTTAGGGTTTAGGGTTTAGGGTTTAGGGTTTAGGGTTCAGGGTTTTGAGCGTAATAATGCCGGCAGGTCTTTGAGTCTTTGGGTTGAGGTCCCGGGTTCTGCTCAGCATTAGCTTGTAAATCCTGAACCCGAAACCCAAACCTGGTCCTAAACCATAGTTAGCTCGGTTGTAACCCTGAACCCTAAACCCTGAAAACCCCTAAACCCCAAAACCCCGCACTCTCTTCTTCAACAACCGGGCCCCAAAAAAGTTCAAACTTTCTAAGATAGAGCTAATATATAAGGCCAAGAAGTTTTTTTTAAGTTCCCCCTTTCGCTGTCGAAGCTCAAAGTTAAGATCAAGTGGGTTAGGCCGCTGGAACTTTCGGGTCCGGTCCAAGAGCCCTGCAAGTCCTGAGTGTTAGGATCCTAACTATGAGGGTTCAGGGTTTCGGGGCTTAGGGTTAAGGGGTTTAGGGCTTAGGATCTAGGGGTTCAGGGTTGAAGGGTTTGGGGTTGAGGGTTCAAGGCTTGTAAAAGCTTGCCGACCATTCATAAACTCTAATCCAAATCTCACAGGAGCCCTACGCCGGAGCCGCTGAGTCCAGCACTGCGAAAGAGACCCTACCCCAACAGACTGGGATGGCTTGCGGCACTCTGCGGTTGATGATATAAATCCTGCATTACCCATAAGAAGGAATATACCATAACTCCCATAGTTTAGAGTTCTTAAGATAATGCAGGATTTATATCATCAACAGTAGGACCCCTCACGAAGGCTTGCAGGTGTTTGTTACGAAGGCTCGCGAACACTCGCGAATGCTTGAGAACGCCTGCTAATGCTTGCGAACGCTGCGAATCGCTTTCGCATCTCTCAACTACCTGCAGTAACTCTCAGACTCCCCTCACCTTTGAACAAACCCTTCTGCTGCGAATCCCATAACTAGGATACCCAGTAACCTAAGAATAAAAAGGCCTCTCTTTTTGGTATTGGGTAACTTTATAAGGAACCTAGGACTACAAAAAGGGAATAAGGGTACTACTGGGCATCCTAGGTAAACAAAAAAGCTCCGAGGGCGCCGGCAAGCTGAGGCAGCGTGGAGCTCGTCTCGGACCAGGCGCTGAGGAAGGGCGAATAGACCCTGGGCTGATAAAAGTTGGAATATGGTTTCAGGGTAGGATACCTTAATATTTACCATAGAAGGGTTACGATAATCATATTCCAACTTTCTGGCTTCTACTATATTATGATGTCCTCTACGTGGAAGGACTTAGTAAGAAGGGTTTATAAGCACCTTAATTAGGCAGTTAAAAATAGTCATAACTATAGTCACCTTACGTAAAACCCTGCTTACTAAGTCCTCTGATCCTCCTAAACCCTAAACCCCTAAACCCCTAAACCCCTAAACCCCTAAACCCCTAAACCCCTAAACCCTAAACCCCTAAACCCTAAACCCTAAACACTAAACCCCTAAACACTAAACCCCTAAACCCTAAACCCCTAAACCCTAAACCCTAAACCCCTAAACCCCTAAACCCTAAACACCTAAACCTTAAACCCCTAAACCCTAAACCCCTAAACCCTAAACCCCTAAACCCTAAACCCCTAAAGCCCTAAACCCTAAACCCTAAACCCCTAAACCCTAAACCCTAAACCTCTCTTTCCTATGATAATTTAAACCCTAATGGCTTCGTCGTTTAAGGTCAAACCTTCGTCGTTTAAGGTCAAACCTTCGTCGTTTAACGTCAAACCTTCGTCGTTTAAGGTCAAAGCTTCGTCGTTTAAGGTCACCCCCGGGTTTTTGACCTTAAACGACGAAGGGTTTGACCTTAAACGACGAAGGTGCTCGTCGTTTAAGGTCAATCCCTTCGTCGTTTAAGGTCAAACCTTCGTCGTCTAAGGTCAAACTTTCGTCGTTTAAGGTCAAACCTTCGTCGTTTAAGGTCAAACCCTTCGTCGTTTAAGGTCAACCCTTTCGTCGTTGAAGGTCAACTCTTTCGTCGTTTAAGGTCACCCTTCTTCAAGGTCATCCTTCGTCGTTTAAGGTCACCCTTCGTCGTTGAAGGTCACCTTCGTCGTTTAAGGTCACCCTTCGTCGTTTAAGGTCACTCCTGGTTTAGGGCCTAGGGTTTAGGGCTTAGGCTTTAGGGTTTAGGGCCTAGGGTTTCGGGCCTATCGGGCCTAGGGTTTAGGGCTCGTCATCAAGGGCTTCTAGTCTGGGAAGAGCAGATGTCAGTTAGGTTCTAGGGTGGGGAGGGGATGTGGCACGGAGGACTGTCCTGATGAATAAATAGCTTGCAACATATACAACAAACCTAGTTGGTTGGAAGAATCTAAGGTAAGTCTAAGCTCGACAACGTTAAAGAATTAAATCAGCTGTGGAAGCAATATGAACTGTTGTATTTTCCTAGTGGTGTGGGAAGGCGACATTAAAGTGTGACAGGCTAGGTTGTAGGTAGAACTCTCTGAATGATGATGAAGGACTTTATATGGCTTATGTTATGGGATTCTAAGGGTGGGTGGGTGTTATTTCTAAACCGTAAATACAACTCTACTTTAAAACTGCTCGATCCGGAGCTGCTGAACCCTAAACCCCTAAACCCTAAACCCCTAAACCCTAAACCCTAAACCCCTAAACCCTAAACCCTAAACCCTAAACCTTAAACCCTAAACCCTAAACCCCTAAACTTAGGCCCTAAACCCTAAACCCCTAAACCCTAAACCCCTAAACCCCTAAACCCTAAACCCGGGTTTCCCAGCAAGGGCTCCTGGTGAAAAGTCGTTGTAAGGCGAACGTCGGGCTAAGGGCTTTACCCACAGAGCCCAATACCCCTTAATTAAGGAGTATAGCCTAAGTTATATAGGGCTTCATATTATGATTTAAGCTCTATTCCTTAATTAAGGTGTATTGGGCTTTCTGGGTATAGGATTCACACACGGCTGCCATAAGGTTGCACAAGGGCTTTGTAGGGTGTAAGACAGGCTTATAAGGGGTTTATATAGGAAGTTTGGGGTTTGGGACTTTGGGCTCAGGGTGTTGGGGTTTGTGAATTTACGTGTTGTATTTGCGGGGTTTAGGGTTTATGTAGGGTTTTAGGGCTTTAGGGCTTTAGGGTTTTAGGGTTTTAGGGTTTCAGGGTTCTGGCAGGGGCGAATGAACTTCGGGCTGGTACAGGAGTTAGGATCAGGGGGACCCTTGGGGATATAGCCACGGTTTAGGGTTTAGGGTTTAAGCGAAAAGGTCCCTTGCAAGAGAGCCGGAAGTAGGGTTAAAAGGGTCCCCTTCAAAGGGTCTCCCTCATACTACCTAGGATGATACTAAACCCTAAACCCTAAACCCCTAAACTACTAAACCCTAAACCCTAAACAGGCTGATACGGGTAGGGTTGACTCAAGGCCTCTCAGGGCATAACGAACATCTACGGGATGTGTTTGCATAGCCCTACGGGTACTTGCATTTATGTAGTCGAGAACATAAGCCTAGAAGGGACTGCTATCTAGATACCGTTGGGCCCAGGCATATGCTACGTCGCTACATGGATTTATGCTGTAAGTTATTGTTGAAGCTCGTACTTGGGGCTTGTGCAGGTTCGCGGGAACCGGGTTTTGTTGAAGTGCAGTCGGGCTTCGGCTTAAAGGTTCAGAGCTCAGGGTTTGCTGTTCAGGGTTTGCGGTTCAGGGTTTGCGGGGTAGGTTACGACTCCCTCACAGAGTGGATTACTATAGGGGCCTTCATGATTAAAATAGGGTTTTGGGGAATATTCTACCAGAAATATAATAAGGAATCCCAAACATAGTGATGGTAATTCCTGAGGCCCACTATACTATAATGATAGTTTTAATAAGGAACCCCCAAAAATAGTGATGGTAATTGTTGAGGCCCCTATAGTACTGTTGATGATATACATCCTGCATGACCCATAGTAAAGAATATACCATAATTCGCATATATTCCTTGCTATGGGTAATGCAGGATTTATATCATCAACAATAGTGATGGTAATTATTGAGGCCCCTATCGTATCACGCTTGTGCTCTGCGCTCCTGTCCTCGGGTCTGCCTGAGGTGTGGTCGGGTTCGAGACGGTGCTTGGTCCAAGTAGCTTTTGAAGAGACTGATGAGAGTTTCCGAAAATTGCCTTATTAATTCGGGATCCTTGAAATAAGGATCCTACTATTCAGGGTACTATATTACGGTCCCCTATTTTCTGAAGCTCCCCGATGGTGGCTTTAATTATTAGCCAGCCTTGAAGCAGCGTTCCTACCAAAGCGACGCTGCCTAGGCTGGGCGCTTGAGGATTTGAAGCGCGAACCCTTAAACCCCCAGATCTAGAGCCTGAAACTAAACCCAAATCCACATTCTAAAACCTGAACCCTCAACCCACCCGAAACCCGGAGCCCTGAAGCGGCAGTGAAATGCCGATCTGCTCCGTATGGTTCGGTCAGACGCCCGTTTTCTCGTAGTGTCAGATTACGGCTCTGCTAAAGCTCCGAGTTACAATGACAGCTCTGCTACTGCTCCCGCGCAGGCCTGCTACGTTACCGCCCGGGACGTGATGCTCATAGTGGGGCGGCCCTGAACCCTAAACCCCAAGCCCTAAACCCCCCAAGATTAAGGGTTTGGGCAGAGTGTTTTCAAGGGGCTTGGGGATATAGTATTGCTCATTCTTCAAGCCCCTCACGCTGAACCCGAAAGCCTTAAAAGCCTGGATGCCCACTAGCAGCTAGTTACCCTCAAAATAGCCCTGACCTCAACCCTTATCAGAAACCGAAGAGGCAATCTTCCAATTAAACCCTAAAGCCTAAACCCTTATTGCCCACGTAATAGCCCATATAGTCGCTTTCGGTTTAGGGTTTAGGCTTTAGGGTTTAGGGTTTAGGGTTTAGGGTTTAGGGTTTAGGGTTTAGGGTTTAGGGCCGGGTGGCATGCCCCCAGAGTCGACGGATTGATGGTTCTGCTTCAGGGCCATTCCAGCGGTGGGCCTTGGGGCTTGGAGCTTTCTCTTGGAGTTCGGGGTTCGCGGATTTGGGGTTTGGGGTTTAGGGTTTAGGGTTTAGGGTTTAGGGTTTAGGGTTTAAGGTTTAGGGTTTAGGGTTTTAGGGTTTAGGGTTTAGGGTTTAGGGTTTAGGGTTTTAGGGTTTAGGGTTTTAGGGTTTTAGTGTTTAGGGTTTAGGGTTTAGGGTGATTTGGGGTTTGGGGGCTTTAGGCTTGTCTAGCAAGTTGTGGAGTTGTGGATGAGAGCGTTGCCTTCGGGTTGAGGCGTGTTTCTGGAAGGAGTGAGTTGTGGAGGCCGTGCGTCCACGGCTTTTGGATTCAGCCGTGGTTCACAAGGGCCCCAAACCCCTGAGCCGGAAACCGGAGCGAGAATCATGAGTGACTAATCTTTCAAAGACCCTGTAGTAAGCAACCAGCGGGGCCCAAAGAACGCCGAGCACCTAGTAACAACTCACCAAAAAAATCCTATGGATCGGAACGTGCCAAGCAAGGATCAACCCTAAACCCGAAAGCTCAAACCCTAAACCCTAAACCCCAACAAACCCTAAAGCCACAAAAGGCGCCGAGGGCCCGGCGTAACGAAACATCGAGGAGGCTGCTTGGGATAAGGAGGATCGAAGTAGATGGTCACCTGCTGGATTAGGATTTACATGTAGGCGAAAAGACCCACCTTTTCGGAAGGAAGTTCAAGTGATTGATGGTTGAGTGTTCAGGGGTTCGAAGACTTTGATAACAGCACGAGAAACCTTATCCAAACCCTAAACCGTAAACCCCAAAGAAACGAACCCTACACCCTAAACACAACCTGAACCCCAAAGTATAACAGAAAGCCCTGAAATCTTGGGTCCTTCCCCCTCATCGGAGCTAGGTAGCTTGCATCCGGAGTGGAGGAAGACCGCGAGACGAGGCCGGATCATATGCACACGGTCACAATCGTTCCATGGCCTTCTGGAGCATCCCTGGACGGTCTCGTTGGGACTGACGGAAATATGGCAGCACACAACGCCGTCCACAACTTGGTTGAGCTCCCAGTGCTCCCCCAACAACCTTTCCAACTGGTGCGGTCGCAGTGGCCATCTCGGCCTTCGGCACCTTCACCTTCATCGCTCTCGTGGCATTCCTAACCCAGGTCCTCTCCGGCTTAACTTGCAGTTCCGTTCCGCAACCTCCGGAATTGTGTAGCATGAATATTTATATTGCTGAAAACCCTGAAGGGTAGTGTACAATCGGGTTTAGGGTTAAGTTAGGGTCTACTTGGAGGATCATGGGACTTAGTAAGTAGGGTTATAAGTACCTTGGCTAAGGCTATAAGTAGATAGAACTATAGCTACCTTAGTTATAACCCTACTTACTAAGTCCCCTGATCCTCCAAGTAGGGTTTAGGGATTCCCCTGCAGGCGACCCCATCGATCCCAACACTCCGAAGCTTCATGTCAGAGGTAACACCTTACTGAGGTGCAGCAGAATAACCACAAGAATTTCGATTTAGGGTTTAAGGTTAGGGTTTGGGGTGTAGGAGGCCTTAGCAGAATAACCACAAGCATTTCGGCTATGCTATACACCCCTTAGAGCCATAATAAGAATATTTAATGAACAAAAATAGAAAATACTTCCTAAGGAGACTACAGTATGGGGTTGAGAATGCATCAGAGTGTCGAGGAACCTTGTAACCAGGGTCTTCCTCTTGGGGTCGAAGTAAAGAAAGGTTTCGCTGCCGTCGTTTCAGTCCGTCAACGTTCCTTTCATTTCCGTTCTCCGCTTGGCCACCAAAGGAGACGCCTCATCCAAATTGTTGTTCATCTTCTACCGCAGCTTCTCCCAAGTCAGATAGGTTCGTGCATGGTTGCATGTATAGGTAGGCCGGCAACAGTTCCCGCAAGACTTCCTTAAAGGGTTCCTGTAAGGGTTCGTTTAAGGGTACTACAGCTATAAGGGGTGATGCAAGGGTTCTGTACGGTGTTGGGTCTAGGGCTTACTACTCCGTGGTCATGTCTTTCCGGGGGTGGGGTCCCCGTTCATGGAACGCTTCTATGACTTAGACTGAAATGCATACAAGATGGTGCTCATGCATGTAAATCTGGCACTTAATTACAATGTGTTGCATGTAATGTACAACTCCTCAGACCCTAAACCCTGAATCCTAAGCCCTAAACCCCTAAACCCTAAACCCTAAAGGACAATTCCTCAAAGGTCTGCCAAAGTCCCATGCTGGCAGCCCCCAAAACCCTTCATTAGGATTTAGTTGCCGGGTTGAGTGTCCGAGACTCTGACCCACACTAAGTGTTCAGGGTTTAGGGCTCAGGGGTTCGGATTTAGGGTTGGGGTTTAGGGTTGTGGGTTCAGGGTTTAGGGTTCAGATTTCAGAGTTTCAGTTTAGGGTTCAGGGTCTAGGGTTTAGGTAATCCCCATGCTCTCAACAAAGTTGCTAACAATCCTAGGCTGGCCCTTTGAAGCCTTTGAAGAGTATTTGTGCTTTGGATAAGATCCTTTTAAGCCTAATAAGGGAAAACGCAAAACCTCCCAAAGGCCTACCTACAATCCTAAAAAAGGGGCCTTAATAATTACAGATACTATTTTGGGGGTTCCTTTTTATTATTATAGTATAATGGGCCCCACAACCCTATTCTAATCATTAAGACGCCTACATTGAACTCCTGAACCCTTAACCCCTCTCCCATTCCCCGCCGGGATGTTGTAGGTGGCGCCCTGGTAAGTGATCGGCACAACCTGGGTAAGTCGGCAAACTGATGCTTAGAGGATCATAGGAACTTGTAAGGGTCCCTTAAAGGGCTCCTTAGAGGGTTCCATAGGGTTCCTTAAAGGGATCTATAGGGCTTAGGGTTTAGGGTCTACTTCAACCAGTCCTTCGAGGAATGATGCGATGCGTCTGTCACCACGCATATTTGCTTTGCCACCAACATGGAAAGATGGCTTTCTTCCTTGTACATTCGCAGCAACTTAGCACACTCCCTGGCATGATGCCACCCTGACGGTCCCGGGCACGGATTTTGGCTAGCTTCCTCATGGATAAATTTGCCTCGCGAGCATCTTCTATAAAATGCCATATTTCATGAATGGACATTTGTACACGTGGCACTTGACCAGCTGCAGCAAGCTGTCGTCGAAGAGATCGGCGATATTTCGAAACAACCATCATGCCGGCTTGTCGTAGCTGGGCTTCAAGGTTTAGGGCTTTATGGTTAAATTTAGGGGCTTAGGGTCTTTACCAGAATGTGCAACCGTAAAAGTCATCAGGTCCCGGCTCAAGCCATGACGTAGGAATGTGATTAACCCCCACCCCCCCCCCCGGTCCCACAACCCCAACATATGAGTAGTTCTCTAGATTAGGGTCCCTTTTGGGGTCCTCTTCATAGGGGTCACGGCAACCATAAGAGGACCCTAACGAAGACCCAAGATTTCTTAATCAAGTTCCTATGTTAGCGCTTAGGGTTTAGGGCTTGGTGCACGCATTGCGGGCATAGTATACTATGTTTATATTTTAAGGAACCCCCAAAACCTAACTCTCATTATTCAGGTCCCTGTAGTAATCCTGCACCTCGTGTGGAAGCCCGAAAACCCGATGCCCGAAACCATGAATCCTAAGCCTCAAGACCGAAACATTAAACCCCAAACCCCTAAACCCCTGAACCCCTAAGCCCTAAACCCCCAAACCCCTATACCCTAAACCCTAAAACCCTAACCCCTAAACTCTAAACCCTAACCCCTAAACCCTGAACCCTGAACCCCTAAACCCCTAAACCCTAAACCACTGAGACCCAGGAAGTTGTCGGGTGCCCAGCACCGTAGAGATAGAAGAGCGTGACCTGGGGGAGTGATGTTACAAGGGTAAAAGGAGGTTTAATAAGGACCCCTAGGTATATACCCTTAATATAGCTATTATATACCCATTATACAGCCCATTTTAGGGTAGGGGTCCCCATTAAGGGTCCCTCCTTTTCCCCTTTGAGACAGGCTTCTCTGAGGGTTTAGGGTCTAGGGCTTGAGGGGTTTAGGGGTTTAGGGTCTAGGGCTCTAGGGGTCTAGGGTTTGGGGGTTTAGGAGTTTAGGGTTTAGGGTGTAGGGTTTAGGGTTTTATGCGGTTTGTAGAGTGTTCAATAAGAGTCTATTGGAGGTTGCTTTAGGAAAGCAACCCTTTCATTACAGAGGCACCCTGGACAAGACCGAGAGTATATTGCTCGATTTGCTGGGGCTGGGCTCTGTAGGCGAGGGTGTAAGGTTAATCCTTGAGCTTCGTGCTTCTAACAGGGTTTTGGGGTTTCGGAATTCGGGTGTATGGATCTGTATGGATGACGGGTTTAAGCTCGGCTGAGGGGCTTGGGGGATCCGGCTTTCGCTCTGAATGTTCAGGAGTCCCCATCGACTAGGATCCCCAGTGTCCCCTAAATAGTGAGGGTACCCTCTCCTTGGTATTCAGGTTTTTTCAACGGATCCCTGAAATAGAAAGGGCAGAAGGGTACTACTGGGGAGCATAGTTGAGGTGATAAAGTACCGAAATAAAGTGAGGAGGGTTTAGGGTTTAGGGTTTAGGGTTTAGGGTTTAGGGGTTTAGGGTTTAGGGTTTAGGGTTGCTGGACTGAGCCTTAAACGCCAAACCCGACTAGGAAACCTCAGCTCACGCCAGAAAGGCTTGTAGCTTTGGGATGGCGAAAAACCCGCCACAACCTGCAGAATGGTTTACAACTCTTACCTGGAGGATCAGGGGACTTTGTAAGTAGGGTTATAAGTAGCGTAACTGTAGTAGCTATAGCTACTTGTAACCTTGATTAAGGTGCCTATAAACCTACTTACTAAGTCGTGTGATCCTCTGAGTCGGAAACCTTCCAAAACCAATATCTCGGATCGTCGAATGTCAACCCCATCTGTCGGAAGACACGGACACGAGGGCGTTTTCGATGCCACCGGCCAGGAGATCACTATCGAAAATCTGAGAAATGCATACAGGCCCCACTTCAAGGGCTTCGGGTTTAGGGTTGAGGGTTATTTTGCTGCAAGCATTGGAGGGTGTAGGACTGGGTTTCACATATGAGGTCAAGGTGCGACGGAGGCCTGAAGGCAATTGTTGACTGGGAGCTTCCGAAAATTGGGGCCCTAATTTGATCCCACAATTAGTAGGATCCTTACCATAAGGACCCTAGAATAAGGTACCCCTAATTTTCGGAAACTCCCAAATGGAGCCATAAGTCCTTAATCCGGGCTGCCCTACATGCAAGTCTACTTGCATTTCAGAGTTCTTACTGAAGCATACGAGCCCCCTAAGTTCCCTCGTCTTCTAAGTGGTCTATGCAAAGGACGAAGGGGGTTTCCGAAAATAGGGATCCCTTACTTAGTACTCTAAATAGCAGGATCCTTACTATAAGGAACCCAAGATTAGGTACCCCTAATTTTCGGAAACTCCCTGGACCCTATACCCTATAGATCCCTTATAGGAACCCTTAAAGGAACCCTTTAAGGGTAGCCCATACTTTCGGAAACTCCCAGGCGAGAATGCTAGGACTCGGCTGTCACCTTCGCCTTCTTCAGGACGCCTTGCGGTCCCCAGAGTCCCCAAGCATACCTCGGAGCGTAGGGGGCTCTTTGAGGCTTCCTTTTAAGGGAGGGTGCCTTTAAGGGTGTGGGGCTTTGAGGGTCTTCTTTGAGGTTTCCTTGTTTAGGGTTTAAGGGTTTAGGGATTGAGGATTTTATGGGTCTTTTGAAGGGTTGGGTTAGGGTTTTTTAAGTGCAATGGCTCTTTCTCCACATAGCAAGCTTTGCAGGTCCTGAGCGTGAGGGGTTTAGGGTTTAAGGTTTAAGGGATCCTTGGAAGGGTACCTTTGGGGGTGTGGGGCGTTGAGGGGCTCCTTTGAGGAATCTTTCAAGGGATCTATAGAGGTGTAGGGATTCCGGTTTAGTGTTGTTTGGGGACCTTCTAAGCCCTGGATTCGCCCTGGATCCGAAAAATCAGAGAGTTAGGCCCCTAAACTCTAAACCCTGAACCCTTAACCGCGATGTAAGGTCGTAGGTTGTGTGGTCTGGCCTGAAAATTGCAAGGCCGAGGCCAAGGCAGCAGATAGGGGTTTAGGGTTTAGGGTTAGTTAAGAGTTTGTGGTTTAGGGTTTAGGATTTAGGATGTAGGATTTAGGGTTTAGGGGTTTAGGGTTTAGGATTTGGGGTTTAGGGTTTGGGGGTATAGGGTTAACCGCCTGCGTTGTGGCAACGTCTGTGGGAAGTGGTTTGGAATATCTTGCCATTACTAGCACCACGTCAAAACACCACCCAACATGGATGTAGAACAAGGTGTATCTACATGTACACACTCACCAATCTTCGTAAGGGCCCCTCGGCCCTGTTTTCACTGACCAAGAGCCGTGATGACGGTGCAAAGACATCTTCACACAAACGGTAAACGCCTGACGAAACCTTTAAAGTAACGACCCTTTAAACATTCCTTCGTCAGCCCCTAAACCCTAAACCCTAAACCCTAAACCCTAAACCCTAAACCCACCCTTGATACAAACCTCACACACTCCGAAGCCCTGAACTCTACAATCGCCCCCTCCCTTTGATTGTGGTTGGAGCCAAGCCTTGCCTTAGAGAAGAACAATCAATCATAGGTCATAGGGGTTTAGGGTTTAATTAGGGGTTTAGGCTTTAGTTAGGGTGTAGGGCTTTTGGGCTCAGGGTTTAGGATAGTCGCTGCTTCGGTTAAAAAAGATGCTCGAAGACTGCTTACACCCTAAACCCTCAACGCCACAGCCCTAAAATCTAACCGCTAAGCCCCAAACCCAACCAACGCTAGAGCCTTAGCCAGTATGTAAGTTTAAACCAACTCTACTTAGAGGTTCAGGGGACTTAGTAAGGAGGGTTTATGGTTATGTCTACTTATAACCCTAATTAAGGTACCTATAACCCTACTTGCGCAAGCAACCCCCAACCCTGGCGTCCCAAACCTTGATCTTGAAGACCGCAAACCCTACAAACCTACCACAGTTAGCCACCACAACCCTCGTAGATCACCGCTGAACCTGCATAAATAAGGGCCACTATACAGCAATTGCCCTCTAGGTTGATTTCTTCATGGCTTTTGCAACTTGTCTAAAGTTCAAGCTTAACACCCACACTGCCTGATCCGTGAACCCTGAACCCTCAACCCTAAACCCTACACCCTGAACACCAAACCTTCAACCCTAAACCCTCAGTCAGAAACCTTAAACCCTGAACCCTAAACCCTCAACTAGAAACCCTAAACCCTTACCGAACTCTTGTCTTCACAAGCGAAGAAGCCATATCGCTCGGGCAAGGAGGTAGGCCGCAAAGACTGCCCACACCTAACTCAAGGCCCAGAGGCTACCGAGTTCAGGGTTTGGGTTCAGGGCTTCGGGTTCCGATTTCAGGGTTCAGGTTTCAGAAATCTACGGTTTAACTTCACTAACCCTAAACTCTGAAATCCCAGATCCTGAAACCCTAAACCCAAACCTTAAACCCAACCCCAAACACTCTACACTGAAGCCTATACCCTGAGACCCCAAACTCCCAAACTCGCAAGCGTCAAAGCCCTAGGCCACCAAACTCCTAGAGCTGGACACATACAGAGACTAGGATACCCAGTAACCTAAGAATAAAAAGGCCTCTCTTGTTGGTATTGGGTAACTTTATAAGGAACCTAGGACTACAAAAAGGGAATACGAGTACTACTGGGCATCCTAGCCCCTAATTTTCGGAAACCCTAAACCCTTTATAGAACCCTTATAGATCCCTTTAAGGAACCCTTATAGATCCCTAAGGGTACTACTGGGCATCCAAGGAGGCCCTGATGCCTCAACTCGGGGTTTGTTGGGTTGTCGGGTTCCTTTAAGGGTTCACTCCACGGAGAAAGAAATTAAAACGATAAAATTTCCATAAACCCCAAACCTTAAACCCTAAACCCTAAACCCAACAAAGCCCTAAACCC